CATCTGCTCTAATCTATATCCAAAATTTTGTCCAATTCGGCACGAGGGAATAGGAGAAAATTCCAGGTTTTATTTCCGTCGCATACTTTTTAACTAAATTAATATTTTTATCTAAGGTTGAGATGAAAAAGCTTAGCTATCGTGACTCCGTTGTTTTGCAAACCAATCGGTTCAAGCAGCGGCGTGGGTTCGAATCCCGCTCTTGACACTAGCTTTTTCATCACAATCGAACTTAGAAAAAAAGTATAATTAATTCAAATAATTAGTACGGTCCATTCTGACTACTAAATAAATGTATTGGTTAATACTTTTTACCCTGGATTTAATTTTTACTAAAAATCAATAAAATGATAAAATATAGTCATATTAATAGGTGAAAATAAAAAAATAAAAAAGGAGGTTTGAATCATCACCTGGCGCGATAATCCCCCCCGTGAAAATTTTCATTTTCTTTATAATCACAATAACTAATGATCAAATTAATGATCAAACCATTAAAAATAATAAGATTTTTATTTACTGACGGGAGGACAAAAATTGATTGAAATTCGATACAAATCAATGACAAATTTTTGACCTAACGAGTCTTTCGGAGGGGCGCCCTGTAAAATTTGCTCCTTTTTCTTTGCAACCCCAAGGAAATAAATTCTTTAAACTTTATCCAAAAAAAATGGACACCGGTCGTTTTTTCTTTGGTTTATTGTAGTCAAAACTGGCCCTTTTTAGAAAATCAGTTGTCAATGACTGTCTACACGTCTGAAGAAATAAAGATTAGTCTGGAATTTTAATTGGGCCAGTTTTTACTTGGAGAGAGAGTGTTTAAAAAAAAATGTACGAACAATTACTGAATATTTTGGAGAGATCCATTCGACGGAATTCTAAATCTAAATGCATAATAATTTGGTTTTTGTGCGTTAATTTTTTTTATCGTGGTATTTTTTATTTATTGAATGAGAAATAGCATTTAACGTGTGTTATTACAGCCTTCAATCTGCTATCCTGTTGCATCCTCTTCTTCAAGGGTATTCAGGATTTTTTTTGTTGCTACCTGCTTGAAAGTAAAGGTCAAAAAATGAACAAGCTCGATAAAATAGCTCGTATTTATGCCACGGGTCACCGAGATTGAACGTAAGATAGCATACAATCATGTTAGAGAAAAGTAAACGGAAAAGAAAACATGTCGATCGTGAATTAATTATGAGCAGGCCGAAAGTGCATAAATATATCTTGTACATAATTAAGGAGGTGCTCGATCTGGAATTGCGAAATTAAGGCAGTACACACTAACTCTCTCTCCTAGTAAAAACTGGCCCAATTAAAATTCCAGACTCTAATCTTAATTTCTCCAGACGTGTAGACAGTCATTGACAACTGATTTTCTAAAAAGGGCCAGTTTTGACTACAATAAACCAAAGAAAAAACGACAGGTGTCCATTTTTCCTATATTAAATTTATCTATTATAATAGATTTTTTCATGAATTAAAGAAAACAACAAACCTATTAAGGACGAATGATCAAAATTTATTAAAAAATAAAGATTTTTAAAAAGAAATAACGAGAATGTGAAAACCAAAAGATTGCAAATGACCGCTCACTCTTCCCACGTTAATATTATCTATCAACGTTTTTTGTCATAGATAATTAGAATAATTTATTATTCTTAAAATTTTGAAAGAACGAACTTATTAGGACAAATAGAATGGCAGATAATAAAATTTATAGGTTTATTATTCCATTTAGTTGGCAAGTGGTGGGGCGACTTCCCCCACTCTTTTTTTAATATACAGTCCTACGTCACCTTTAGGAGATATGCAAAAGTTTTTTACGCTTTGCGGTTTAGAAAAAATGAAATAATAGGATTTATGGTAAGTTGAGTCTTGATTGTATTTATGTGTTGCAAGAAGGTTTTTAAATATCAACGCTTTGTCTCAGGGGTGGTGTTCAGGACGTCGGGTGGCATTCGCCCCATAGATGTTCAAAATTCAACAAAAGTAGGTGAAATTCTGTTGGAGGGGGTGAAAATTTAATTTCCTTTTGATTTTTCACACGAATCGGATTTTCCTTAACCAGATCTTAAAACAACTGCGTGGAAGGAAAAAGACGGTTATTTCTGAGCATTTTTTTTTTTTGGACATCCGATGGTTGCAGAATTTCTCCGGGCTTGAATTAAATCGTGTTGTAAAACAATTTCCGTGTCGTGCGTGCCCGCAGTCACGCAAATCGGACACAGCTACTTGGTTCGAAAAAACACAAAAAGGGAGCCATTTCGCAAGAAAATAACCCTGTTTATGCAAATCGGACCGTTTTCTATTGTGAATGAACGGATTTCGACAGTCTGACGGACCATATTCGACACGATATCGAAAGCCGTCCGGGATACACGACTAAGGATTAGCGACCGGACTAGACTTGACAACATGGGGAAACCTCATAAACATAAGATTTTGGGCCAAATTTCGATACTAGATTTAAATCTACCAATAAATGATCCTTTTTTCTATAGATAAATAGTTTAGTTTATTATCTTTAAAATGCCGCAACAACGAACTTATTAAGTCAAAGGGAACGGAACATATTTAAAATAATAGTTTATTTATTATTATTTGAGTAGGCAAATGGAGGGGGTACTTTCCCCCACTCTTTTTTGAATCTCTAGCTATCCGTCACGGCCTGGAGATACTTCAACCTGTTAAAAATAAACTTATTTTTCAGAAAATCCTATTTATTATGCGCAAGCCAATGAATAAATCGGACGTGTAGAGATGATGGAATTCGGCACAATTATAAAACTTTTGAGCCTCGAATTACGCAAAATTTGGTCAAAATGGGTTTCGGGATGAAGCAAAAAGTATTGTTTATTTATGTTACATATATTGCTTAAATTTTATCACTTTATTCAGGAAAGAATTGATATAGATTTTTTATCTATCTCTCAATTTCCCCCCTTATTTATTTTTCTTATACCTGTTTTAAATATTTTTTTTAAATTACAAATTTACGAATTTTCTGTTTTTTTTTTCATAAATAATATAAACAGGACGGAAGATGTTAACAATTATAACCTATTATTGCTATTTCTATACGTAAGTAGCGGGGGCGTCTTTCCCCCACTTTTTCTTGAATCTCTCGCCATACGTCATTACTGGAGATATTTAAAGCGGTTAAAAATCGACATATTTATCTAAATTTAGAATGAGATAAAATTTCTCGCAACCGTAAAACATTTGAGACTTGATTTGTTGTTTAAATTTTGCCAAAATCGGTTGAAAAAAGTTTGAATTTACAATAATTGGCATTTATAGATTGATGAGGCATTTATAAGGCAAAGAACTTTCTTTAATATCTCGTTAACGAATGGACAAAACATTACGGAATTTGGCACGTATAAAAAGATTTTAAGCCTCGATCTATTATCCAAATTTGGTCAAAAATGGTTTTGGGATAGAGCTGTTGTTTATTTATGTTGAGTGTATTATTTAATGTTTTCTGAATGTTTTCATTCTTCAGGTTCTGAGATTTGATATAAATTTTATCTCAAATTATCTTACAATTTCCCATCTAATTTTTTCATTTCTCTTAAATTTTTTTGAGTCACATTTTCCTGATCTTTTGCCATTGATAATTAAACTAGTTTAGTAACTTTAATATGACAAAATAATGGACTTATTAGGCCAAATAGTACAGAAGATATTCAAAATTAAAGTTTATTTCTGTTGTAAAGTGGCGGGGGCGACTTTCCCCCACTTTTTCTTGAATCCCTCCCCATACGTCACCTGCAGATATTCCAAGCGGTTAAAAATGTACTTATTAATTAAAAAAATTTATTTGTTATGCAAAACCGTAAAAGTTGAATAATTCGGACATACCGAACAGCAGAGGTACAAGAATTCACGTAAGTCGAATTGTGAAAGTCAGTTTTCTCGTGTGTTTTTCCATCTTTTCCACTGAGGGAAAATTCACTCGGGTTACGAGCTCCTCGCGGCATTACTTTTTTGTATAATTTAGTAGACCTTTTGCCTGAAAGGGTGGTTAAAATGAGACCCGGCGGTTTTCTCTCTCAACTTGCTCCATTTTATTTTTATTTGCGGTCTTGTTTTCTTTTTACGCGTATGATACTTGCCAAGAATAACGGCTGTCGTTAAATTAACGAAAGCCTCTCGTTTTTGTGAGGGTTTGGAAACGGAGTGTTATCAGAAACTGGTCTATTTGGACGGCAAGTGTAATGCCTGAATTCGTGCCCCGAGCGAAGCCGGTAGAAATTAAATTCCATGATGTTTTTCGGGATAGATCACTTTCCCCAGCCTCTGCCGACTTTTAAACTAATCGACTACAATTGTCTTTTGTCTTTTTTTCCAAACAATGGGCCTTCTGCATAAATAAACGCAGTTAACAAAAGGAATTTAGAATAGGAACTGTTTGTGTAATTGTTGGTAGAATGGAAAGTCGCGGTTGAACGAAACAGGGCGGACCCATAAACTTCATTTGATACCTTGCTGTTTTCTTATAAATAAACCGAATAACATGCACTTTTTTCGCCCACTTGCTATCGCTCCTTATCTCTCCTTTTCACTTTCACAGTTTCTTTTTGCCCTAATTTATTATATTATCCCCTTCACCTTGAATAAAACTACAACTAGAAACTAAAACCATAAGATTAAACTTTAGTTGTTTTCTACCAATCTCTTTATGTTTCACACTTTTTCATTGAACCATCTCAAATGGAATAATTGCATTTGATAAATTTTCTCTTTAATGTCAAAAACTCTCTTCTGTCTCCTACACTTTCACTTCTATTAAAAAAAAAGTGTAGAAGGTGACGAGTACCCAAGAGGTCTCAAAATGCCCGAGGCGGTTGTTAACACCCTGGTATTTCGCTGTCCTTGATCGCAAAAAAACGCTTCAATTTTGCATTTTAGGCCGAGTTCAATTGTTTAAGATATGCAAAACAATCGACCCTGGCATTTCTTTATTTGTACAACATTTTTCGTCCTTTTTCCAGCGGAGTGCGGCAACTGCGTTGACGAGTCCCTCCCCGAGCTTAACAAGTACAGCATGCCGATATTCAAGTTTAAAGAGAAGAAGTACTACCTGGGGATCTTTTTCAAGGTATGCAAAAGAAAAGGATTATCCAAGATTGGACTTTTATTTGAAATGACTTTTGGATTTTAGGCCAACTGGTTCAGAGCGTCGCAGTACTGCAGGTACCACGGGATGCACCTCGCTAGCATATCCAGCCAGGAGGAGAACGACAAACTTGAAGAAACAATAAGGAACTACGGTAAAAAAAATGACATCTAATTAAAAAAAAATTGAAAAAGTCAATATTTGAAAGGTGGCCCTCCCACAATTTCCTCAAATTTGTTGTAAGACATCTCGCTTATAAAAACTAAACAATTGAATAAAGCTTATTACAATTTAGTCACAATCATTAAAAATTTGACTTTTTGTTTTGGTTAAAATTGGATTTTGTAAATACACATGATTTGATATGTAGAATGAAATTTCTGATGGATTAAAGTTTACAGTTTTGTGAGGCGCCTCAAGAATAATTCAAAAAATTTACTTTCTTTAATATCTAACCTAAAGGTAAAAATTGGTAAAATAATTAGATTTGTATGCCTTGTTTTGGCGTCAAATTTGGACTAAAATCATCAGGAATATTAATTATCAAACATTAACGTTAAACAAAAGAGAAAATTCAAAAAGGTCATTTTTGATCGGTGGCCCCTCCACAATTTCCTCAAATTTTTCGTAACACATTTCGTTTAAAAAAAATGAAATTTATAATAATTATGTTGAACACAATTATTATAAATTTGACGCTTGCTTATAGTTATAATTGGATTTTAGAAATACTAGTTGACATCCGTTAACAATTATAGGTTTACTTATATATCTCACTAAATATTTCGGTATATCATTACACTTTAAAGCTTCTTATTTATCGTGGAAATTTAATCCAGATTTGTTGTAAAGAATTTAAAATTTCCATCAATTAACGTTGTGAGGCTATCTCAAGAATTTTCTTTAATATCTCGCTAAGTGATCAGTAAGATGTGATGAAATTTGGCACAATTATGAACTTTTAAAGCTTAACTAACTTCGAATTTTGGTCTGGTCTTATAGGATAGGAATTATCACGGATTAAATTTTATAGCTTTGTGTGGTACCTCCACTCAAAACAAAGTTCTTACTTTAATATCTCACTAATCTCAACCGGCCTCATTTTCAATAAAAAAATTGGCCTTGTAACAATACTATTACGCTTTGCTTTGTCGTCAAAATTGGACAAAATCGGTTTCAAGGAATTTTAATTATCAATCATCAACCATGTAATAGCTTCTGAGGCACTTCTACTTCAAGTACACATATAATTTTATATCTCGCTAACCGGCCAGAAAACTTTTGATTATATTTGCCACAAATTTAAAACATTTAAAACCTGATCTATGTACAATGTTTAGTCAAATTCAATTTGAAGGGATTATTAAACAAATTATTAACAACAGACGCATTTTGAGAAACTTCCACCCTAAAAACGTGTTTTCATTCGGTTCTAATCGACCCTTGAAATTTAAGAAAATTGGTACAATTGTAAAACTTTTGGGCTTTTATTTATCGATCAAATTTGGCAAACATTGGTTTGAAAGAATCCGAATTATTGAACATTAACATTTATTGATTTATTACGCCCACCATTAAGTACTTTCTTTAATATCTATCTAAGCAATCGATTAACTGTAATAAAAATAACCAAAATTAATTACATTTTTATGTTTTGTTTCATTGTCAAAATTTGGTCAATATAGATTTCAGGAAATTTGATTTATCAAGCAATAACGATAAGAAAATTATAATGATAAAATTCAAAAGGCTCAGATTTGAAAGGTGGCCCCTCCACAATTTCCTCAATTTTTTTCGATTTTAAATTTAATGAAAATTTGTTGAAAGGAATTCAGATTTGCCAAAAATTAACGTTAGAAGCTTGTGAGGCACTCCCATCCCAAAAACTTACTTCTTTAAAATATCTCGTTTACCAATGGGCAAAATTTAATACAAATTGGTAAAAAAAAACTAGGCTTTGGATCCTTTTTTTTTATTTTTAACCAGAATCTGTTGCAAGGTATTCAGAATAACTAAGAATTAATGTTTGTATCGTTATGAAGAAGTCTTACCCCAAGAATGTAAAAAATCGAAAATTTAAACACTTTTTTGCTTTTTCAGGTTACAGCTACGAGCACTTCTGGGTTTCCGGGACCGACCTAGCTGAGGAAGGCCAGTTCTTCTGGATGTCGACCGGGAGGCCGATCACGTTCACTAACTGGAACGTCGGCGAGCCGAACAACTTCAAGTACGAGAATGGCGAAGAAGAAAACTGCCTCGAGCTCTGGGACCGGGACGGGAAAGGACTCAAATGGAATGACTCGGCCTGCTCCTTCGAGACGTATTTCGTCTGCGAGGCGACTCCTTGAAAAAAAGGAATAACAACAAAACAAAAAGGTCTGAGGAAAAAGGGCGAGAAAAACCCAAAAGTACATAGAATATACATAGATAGTAAGGTCCGCCCAATTCCGTTATTTTTTACTCCACCTTGTATCAGAAGTTCACAAGGCTTGGCCAAACTCAAAATTTCACAAAATAGGCGAAAATAGCGAGTCACACGGATCCACAAATCCGAATCATTCAATTCATAAGAATGATTGCCAAGCTAAAAGAAAGTAAAAACCATAGGTCAAAAACTTGTTACCAATTTCTTGCCATTAAAACAATAATTGATATTTTTTTATAATTATAAATTATGGTTTTGTCTATTTTTAATTTAAATTAAAGACAATTTGTATATACGCCATGGGCCAAAGAAGTGCGTGTTGTTATTTTAAACAGAAAATTTTTATACCCTGTAAATAACGACAAAAAAATTGTGTAATGTTTTATTAAATAGTTTAAACTTAGCCCATTTCATAGAAAATAAGCATTCAATATACAAAAAAAAATACTAATTCTAATAAGTCAAGTTTATTATTTAAAACTATTTTATTGTAATTTGTTTATATAATTAAATTAATCGATATTGTGATTTTAGTTTTGTAATAACAATTTTGTACAAATTTCTACGTTTTTTATAATAAAACAAACGGAAACAACAATATTGTAAATAAATATTCTACCGGTGTTTATTGATTATTCCTTTTCATCCGGCCCGAAGGACCAAACTATTTTAGTTTTGATATGTAAATAGATAGATAGAAAGTTTATATGAGAGAGAGAAGGAGAGAGAGAGAGAGAGAAGGAGGGAGGGAGTGAGGGAGAGAGAGAGAAAATAGAGAGTGAAGAAAAGCGAGGAAAAGAGATAGAAATAACTCACACCCTAGAATCAGTGTTGCCCCCAGTGTTGCCCAAACTCGGATGGCGAGAGAGAGAGAGAGGTGGGACTCCTTTTCCTTTTTCCCTCCGGAGAGAGGGAGATTGGTTACTCCTTTTCATTCGGCCCGGAGGACCAAAATGTTTTAGTTGATAAGTAGATAGGCAGATAGAAAACCTAGATTGATATCTGTATGATGAAAGATGGAAAACGACAGAGAAAGAGAGAGAGAGAGAGAGAGAGAGAGAGAGAGAGAGAGAGAGAGGTGGGAGGAGGGAGAGAGGAGAGAGAGTGGTTACTTCTTTTCATTCGGCCCGGAGGACGAAACTGTTTTAGTTGATAAGAAGATAGGCAGATAGAAAACCTGGATTGATATCTGTATGACTGTATGATGAAAGATGGAAAACGAGAGAGAGAGAGAGAGAGAGAGAGAGAGAGAGACAAAGAAAGAAAGAGAGGGAGACAGACAAGTAGGCAGTAACAACGGAAAAGTGTGGTGTGGGTAGAGATAATGATAGAGAGAAAGAAAGAGGGAGAGAGAGAGAGAGAGTGAGAGAGAGGAGGGAGGGAGAGAGAGAAAATAGAGAATGAAGAAAAGTGAGGAAAAGAGATAGAAATACCTCAAACCCTAGAATCAGTGTTGCCCCCAGTGTTGCCCAAATGGATGGCGAGAGCGAGAGAGGGAGAGATAAGGAGGAAGAAAGAAAAAGACAGAGAAGGAAGAAAGAAAGGGACGTATATATATATATATATATATAAAGAAGAAAGAGAGAGACAGAAAGGAAGGGAGGGAAAGGATGAAAGAGACATAAAGAGAGAAAGAGAGAGAGGGGGAAGGAAGATATATATATATATATATATATATATCTTATATGATATTCATAAACCTTTTATGAATCCCTATGTATTTCTCTCTCTCTCGTATTTTCCCCATAGCGACAAATTTGGTTTTTATTATTTTACTTTGACATGCTTCAATCAGACTGAAGTAAATTGGTTAAGTCCTTCAATTCTCTGTTTTAGGCGTAATTGTAGTTTTAAACATTATATTAATTGTTGTAGTGAGACACGATGTCGTAGTACTGTGGTTCATTTCCGGCTACTGTTGCGCTTGGATGACGGGTAGAAATTTACGCTGGAATTCATTGTGGAATCCAACTAATGCGCGAATTGCGTTGGGTGGAAGATAAACACGACTGACACTTCTAATCGATTAGACAGGTGAAATAGTGGTATTTGATCCAAGAAGGATCAGGGAACAAAATTTTATTAACACAATAAATATTTCCGGCCGGGATTGAGTGGCAAAGTAGATAAAATAAAAGAGATAGTCCAAGAAGGTAATATGGCGTGAAACGACAATTCCATCCGATAATCCGGCCCGGAGGGCCATATTTTTATTTTGTAGATTAATTTTGGAATGGTAAAAAACAATTGTTACTGAATCTCAATAAAGGAGTTGAATTAGTGCTATTTACATGCTTGTTAATCTTGTAAATTGTTAATAAAAGTTTCAAAGTCCTGATGAAAGGGATTTAAATGGCGTTAATGAATAGAAGTATTGGCAACACTGTATAGGATAACCCGATGTATTTAATCAATGAATTTAATTTGCTTTAAAACAATAAGTTACAGTATTGCAAATATTTATATTTGTTAATCTTCTGAATTCTGTTGATGTCGTTATTACGGGTACATTTCGTGTTAATGCGTAGTTGTGTTGAAAACTTCGTCTTATTTCGGGTAGAAAATGGAATACGCTTATTAACAGGAGGACGATGAGAAATTGCGGGAAAAAAGGAAAGAAAAACAGTCCTAAGAAGATTAGACGAAGGCTTACTGTCCCGGATTACTGGCGACGGGATTTTAGAAGACGCAGATGAGATAAAAGCCCAAGCCAATGAAACTTTTAAAAGGCGGCCCCACGTTTTTCCTTTAAAATGCTCAACTCTGAAGATTGCGGGTCCTGGGTTGAAGGACCAGGACGTTAAGTGTGTGTGTAAAGGCGGCTGAAAAGATTCAAATAACACGAAAAAATGACTGAGATTTAAAAAAGAAAATCTAGATTATCTTATGATTGTCTCTTTTTTCTCTCATGGATGCCCCTTCCTCTTTGATACGCCTGTGAAATGAAACCGAGAATGAGCATAGAGTAACAGGGAAAGAGTGATAGATATATAAAAATATATAATACAGGGATATTTGACCGGAAATATAATTTTAATCAAACAGAATCGAGTAGAAACGTTAATTGAAATATATCTAGATTGGATGGAAAAATGGTTATATGGTTTAATAAATAATTTCAATATAAACGGAAGTGAAATGTATTTATTAATCCGGCCCGGAGGACCAAACGATTTGACGATTAATCTCAAGATTGCTGGACACGCAAATCTTTTTTTCATCTATTTCGCGTTACCGGACTGGGAATAAGATGGATTAGGTTAGGTTAAAAAAAATTAGATTTAGGTTAGCGTTGGGGTTGGTGACGGGTTAGGTTAAGTAGCTAAGGGTAGACATTGTAAGATAGAATTAAAGTCAGGGCTAGGGATATGTTACATTAACTAGAATTAGAGTTAGACTAGGACATTTCCGGAAAGAGCGAGAGGGAGGGAGGAGAGAGGAAGAGATTGATTCATGAGTGAGTGAGCAAGTAACCGAGAGAAAGTGAGAAGGAAAAAGATGAAACATAGAAAAACAGATATAGAGAGATTGAGATTGAGAGAGAAGGGTAGATTGATTGATGAGTGAGTAAGGAACCGATAGAGAGTGAGAAAAAAAAATATATATATATAGAGAGAGAGAGAGAGAGCGAGAGAGAGAGAGAGATTCATGAGTAGTGAGCAAGTAACCGTGAGAAAGTAAGAAGGAGAGAGATAAGAAATAGAGAAGGAGATATAGAGAGATTGAGATGAGAGAGAGTGTGGTTGATTGATGAGTGAGTAAATACGTAACTTAGAAGGGAGAGAGAGAGAGAGAGAGAGAGAGAGAGAGAGAGAGAGAGAGAGAGAGAGAGAGAGAGAGAGAGAGAGAGAGAGAGAGAGAGAGAGAACAAGGGAGGGAGAAAGAATTATAATAAGAAATAATTAAATAATTAATAAAGGATGATTGTAGAGAAATATCGTTTTTATTTTAATCCGGCCCGGAGGACCAAACTATTTGGAAACAATTAATCTATAATTTGATAGAAGACGCCAAAAGAAGGAAAATATAAATTGTGTAGTTTTAATGACCGATAACTAATGATTATTTAGAGGCGGCATCTAGCGATCTCTGAACAATCAATATAAATTGTTTTGTTATTGTGAGAAAAAAACATGCAAAAAGCAAACATGATGGGAAGAGAATTAAAGAGGAAAATGCTTTGTTTCATTCAGTTGGAAATGTTCAAAGGCATTGAATTTCCGAATGATCGATAATATACGTTTGTGGGTTTTATTTGTAAACATAAATATAAGGAATATTTAATGACGCGGCTTCCTAGTTCGATGTTCTATTGAGGGCAGATGCTATTTGTTCTGGTTTTCTCCATCCGTGAGTTATTTTCAACTGGAAAGCGGGCTTTGCTTCGTCCGGGGGCCGTCAGAATTCGCCGCCGCCCCCGGCCGCCCTCCGGCTCGGCCTCAGTCAAGGCAGTGAGCGCGTCCGCCTTCGAGTTCTCCTCGGGCCCCGGATCGGCCCCACCGCCTCCGAAGTGCGAAACGTCACCCGGGAACGAAGCGGCCCTCCGCCTCTCCGCCGCCCCCGGATCGTAAAAAGCGTCAGGCCGCCGGCCGAGGGCGACGTCCCGCCACCACGGGCCCTGGGGGCGGAAACCCGGCTAAAATCGATACCCATTACTATGCCATAGGGTCAGGGCGATAACTCGGCATCCCCTGCGTTTCTTTACACCGAGAAAGCCTTGGAATCCTCGACAAGGCGGATTCGGATGAAAATCGGATCTAGTCTCTCGACACGAAGGAAAATAATGAAAAGGATTAAAAAACGACAACAATGTTTCATCCTGATTAGGTAAATAGGAACGTGACAAGTGTCTTGTGCGCTGTTATCACCAAAATGGTCGAAACGTGGACGTTACTATGGAGTGTTTTTCTTCCGTTTCGTTCCAGGATGGGAAGGGCACGTCGCACTGTGCAATGAGCGAGCTCCAGGCGACCGTCGAGTTCTCGGTTGAACTCTGCAAGTTCTACAATGTCGACTTGTTCCAAAGAGGGTGAGTGGCCTTTAGTTCGGGTTTGTTTTTTATGAAGGGAGGAGGCCCGGTGAGGGCAAAGCGGTACCGAGCCCCCTGGCTCGACGCCCGGGCTTGCCCTAAGAGACGGAATTAGACACAGTCATATCCACAAAAACCAATAAAGTTTAAACAAACAAATAACAAAATATGCCCCATTTTGACAAAGAAGCACATAAAACAAACAACAGCCACGACTTAATTAATAACACATAAAACCATAATCATTCTAATACACTATACAACGTCACCAATAGAAAAATCGTCAAAAACACAAAACAAACCTCAATAATAACAGTTAATTAATTAAAAACTCAAATTTTATCTGTCCTACACGATTACTGCCTCTTTCCTTTTTTTAGTCATCCCTTTCTATTTTTGTCTATCTAGATTTGTACATTTCCCTCTCAAAACCTTATAATTATTCTCAATTCTCGTCGTTTTTCATTATTTTTGACCGTCTTTGAACCAAATCTCCCGTCCCCTAGAAAGGGTCAACGGGTTTGGATTTAATTTAAGAAAGCATTGGCGACATTTCAAAATACGGACACGTTTGGCATCCGTTGTTGTTTCTTTTCTAACCTCAGCCAAACTTCCTTGATCTGGTCGACAACGTTCAAGACCGATTGTTTACTTACACCGAAACTTTCTGACACTCTGACTGGCACAGTTATGATCCAACGTTAGTTATTACTCAGTGTTAACATGAAACAAAATGGGTTATGGGACGATGATGCCAATAAAGGACAGTATGGCATTCGGCTAATGATAGTGATAAGTCAGGCAGAATGCAACATACATAAATGTATCCTACTGGTCAGTGATAAGTGATAACACCAATCACTTCTCTCTTCTTCGTCAGTGTTGGACAGTGATAAAAGATATTGTCAAATAAAAATGTCAGATATTAAAAATAAATAAAAATAAAAACCCTACGTACAGATGCTTGTTTTAATCAATAGAATAAACTTAAAAATAATGATACCGTTGTCACGGTCCAATAATGTTCGTACGTGTAGTATTTTCATCACTGACCAATAACAGATAACAGACATTAATAATTCAAAAAGGCTGTTATCGCTGTCCAATAATGTTCCTAGATGTAGTTTTTTTCTATCACTGACCAATCAGAGACATTCGTAAATGATAATGGATGCCCGACAATGTTTGTACATGTAAGATTTTTATCACAGACGAATAACAGCCATTTGTAAATGATAATGGTATTTATCATTGTCCAACAATGTTTGTAATTAGATTTTTATCGTTCTCTCTAGTTCTTAGTGGACAGTGATAACATCGTTTGTAATTAAAATCTTACATCTGCAAACCATATTCGACAGTGATAGCGACCTTTATTAATTACGGATTTCTATTATTGGACAGAGATAACAAGAAAACAACGTCTATATACGTTTTTGAATAGTGATAACAACAACAATAATTTACTAATGTCTTCTATTGGGCAGTGATAAAATGAAAACAACATATATGTAGATTTTGGACAGTGTTAACAACGATTATCATTTAAAAAGTCTGCTATTGGAAAGTGATTAAAAAAAAAAAACTACAAACCTTATTTGACAGTGATAGCGACCTTTATTAGTTACGGATTTCTATTATTGGACAGAGATAACAAGAAAACAACGTCTATATACGTTTTTGAATAGTGATAACAACAACAATAATTTATTAATGTCAACAACAATAATTTACTAATGTCTTCTATTGGTTGAATGTTATTGATCAGTGATAACAGCCACTATCATTTAAGAATGTGCGTTATTGGTGAGAGATAAGAAACCACTACTACATCTGCGTACATTATTGGTCAGTGGTAATAACAAACAATAGCCTCCTATTGGTCAGAGATTTAACAAAATTTATCTGCATACGTTATTGGAGCGTCGTACAGCCATTACAGTTACTAATGTCTACAATTGGGCAGTGATAAAAATAAAACAAAGTCTATATACTTTTGGGGCCGTGATAATAACAATTATCATTTTCGAATGTCTGCTATTGGGCAGTAATAAAAAGAAAGCAACATCTATATACGTATTGGGGTAGTGATTACAATTATTATTTACGAATGCCTGCTATTGGACAGGGATAAAAAAAATCTATATACGTTTTGGGACAATGATAGCAACAACAATATCTGCTATTGGGCAGTGATAAAATGAAAACAACATATATGTACATTTTTGGACAGTGTTAACAACGATTATCATTTAAGAATGTCTGCTATTGGAAAGTGATTAAAAAAAAAAAAAAAACTACAAACCTTATTTGACAGTGATAAGTTCCTTTATTAGTTACGAATTTTTATTATTGGAGAGTGATAAAAAGAAAACAACGTCTATTATACGTTTTTGAATAGTGATAACAACAACAATAATTTACTAATGTTCATAGTTACGAATTTATACTATTGGACAGTTATAAAAAGAAAAAATATATATGTCCATTTTGGGGCAGTGATAACAACAATTATTTACGAATGTCTGCTATTGGGCAATGATAAAAAGAAAACAAAATATATATACGTTTTTGGACAGTGATAACAACAATTATCATTTAGGGATGGCCTCTATTAGATAGTGATAGAAAAACATCTTTATACGATTTTTTGCCAGTGGTAAAAGAAAAAACATCTACGAATCTTATTAGACAGTAATAATATCTTTTATAATGAAGGAATGAACAACATCTGCGTACTTGTTTGACATTGATCACACATCATTTACCAATGTCTGCCATTTGTCGGTGATAAATAAAACAACATCTATGAACATTTTTTCGCGGTGATAATATCTGGTTTGTTAATCGTCAGTGATAAAAAAAACTACCTGTATGAAAGTTATTGGACAGTGATAACATCCTTTATCTGAATGTTTGTTATTCGACAGCGATAGACAAAAAACATCTAAAATTGTTTTTGTACAATGACAAAAGCTATAGTGAAAGTCTGTTATTGGATATTTGATATTTTTTTTTTTGCCCGTATGCAAAATTGCCTTGACAATCTTTATTAAACCTGCTCTTTAGAAAGAAATTATTTGTGATATTTAAAATTTTTCCTTCATAATATTTAGATTGAATTTTCATATTTGGACCCCCCGCAGCGTATTTTTTTGTACATTAACAATATCGGTGATTTAAAATCAACAGCTTTCATGTTTTATTGCAGAATTTTAAATATGGGAGACGGAGCGTAAAACAGTTGAGGGAGAAAGTTCGCAATTAATTGTTCAAAAGAATGAGAGAACTTTTGGTATAGGTTTCCTCCTCGGAGCCAATAGTTGCATTGATTTTACACCCCTTCTCACCCCCGCACCGCAATTGACCGTTGACTTGGGCCTTTAACCCCTTCTCGTGAAAATAAGGAAATGATAAAATAACCCTTTTCATTAATCAAACCGTTTTGTTTTTGGGGACGGTAGGTTTCAAAATACGCCGGCTGGAATCAAAGGATTTTCATTGCTTTTTCGTAGCATGTCAAGCAATATCAGTCGAACGAAGGCGTTAATCGATTCCAATTTTGGATTTGCATGACAGAAAGGACGTTCCTGTTCGAGACGCGAAGACATGACGTCTTAATTAAACCACCGAAATGGCAAATCTCCCTGTTGATTTCTATTAGATATTTTAGCAAGAAAGGTGTGAAAATCATTCGCCCAACCAAGTCGAATCCAATTGTCAAGGTAGAACCTTTCTTCGGTCGTAAACAATATTCAAATTTTACATACGGATATGTTACCACGTAATATCGCGTATTATTTGGTATTTACGACATTGCTAAAATTACAGTGAAGACTGACAACGACTTTCCATTTTAATAACTGTTCGTCAACTAAACCTATTCTTTCTTGTTATATAAATGTGAGATAACTATAAATACTTTAGTTACTATTAGTCAGTGATTAAAAAATTCCTTATAGGATCGTTATTGAACCGTGATAAAACATTAAAATCAACGAATGTCTGCTGGTAAATAAACTATCGTACACATATGTACGAACGATTTTGGATATTGACATTTATTTATTTTTGGGCAGTGATAACAACATTTATAATTTAAGAATGTTTCCGATTGGTCAGTTGTACGAAAACTACATTGGTTGGTGATCAATATATTACATTTACGAACGTTATTGATCAGTGATAACAGCCATTATCATTTAAGAATGTGCGTTATTGGTGAGAGATAAAAATTCACTACTACATCTGCGTACATTAATGGACAATGGTGATAACAAACAATAGCCTCCTATTGGTCAGAGATTTAACAAAATTTATCTGCATACTTTATTGGAGCGTCATTACAGTTACTAATGTCTGCAATTGGGCAGTGATAAAAATAAAACAAAGTCTATATACTTTTGGGATAGTGATAACAACATTAATAATTTACTAATGGCAATAACAATAATTTACTAATGTCTTCTATTGGACAGTGATAAAATAAAAACAACATCTACGTACGTTTTTGGACAGTGTTAACAACGATTATCATTTAAGAATGTCTGCTGTTGGAAAGTGATTTAAAAAAAAACTACAAACCTTATTTGACAGTGGTAAATACCTTTATTAGTTACGAATTTTTATTATTGGACAGTGATAAAAAGGAAACAACGTCTATATACGTTTTTGGATAGTGATAACAACAACAATAATTTACTAATGTCTTCTATTGGGCAGTGATAAAATGAAAACAACATCTATGTTCGTTTTTGGACAGCGTTAACAACGATTATCATTTAAGAATGTCTGCAAGATTGTCTGCTATTGGGCAATGATAAAAAGACAACAACATCTATAGACGTTTTGGGACAATGATAACAACAACAATGTCTGCTGTTGGAGCAGTGATAAAAAGACAACAACATCTGTAGACGTTTTGGGACAGTGATTACAACAACAATGTCTGCTATTAGGCAGTGATAAAAAGAAAATATCATCTATAGACGTTTTGGGACAATGATAACAACAACAATGTCTGCTATTGGGAGTGATAAAAAGACAACAACATCTATAGAGGTTTGGGACAGTGATAAAAACATTTATCGTTTACGAATGTCTGCTATTGGATTGTGATAAAAGAAAATAACATCTACTAACCTTATTCGACAGTGATAACCGTCTTTAGCAGTTAGGAATGTTTTCTATTCTTCAGTGATATACAAAAGAAAACAAAATTTATATACTTTTTGATCAGTGATAACAACAATTTTCATTTACTAATGTCTGCTATTGAACAGTGATAAAAAGACAACAACATCTATATACGTTTTGGGACAGTGTTAACAACAACGCCTGCTATTGGGTAGTGGTAAAAGAAAAGAAAATCTATATACGTTTTTTGATAGTGTTAACCACAATTATCATTTACTAATGTCTGCTGTTGAGCAGTGATAAAAGGAAAACGACAGCTACAAACCTTTCTCGACAGTGATAACTGTCTTTATCAGTTACGTATGTTTTCTATTCTTCAGTGATAAACCGAAGAAAACAAAATACATATGTACGTTTTTGGACAGTGATAACAACCATTTTCATTTTCTAATGTCTGCTATTGGACAGTGATAAAAAGACATCAACATCTATATACGTTTTTGGATAGTGATGACAACAATGATCATTTACTGTGATAAAATAATTATTATTTACTAATGTCTGATATTGGACAGTGATAAAAAGACATCAACATCTATATACGTTTTGGGACAGTGATAACAACAACAATGTCTCCTATTGGACAGTGATAACAACCATTTTCATTTACTAATGTCTGCTATTGGTGACAGGATTAAAAAACATAATACAAATCTCTCATCGACGTCCGTTATTAGGACAGACGTAAGAGCTATTATCATTTATGAATGTTTTTTATTGGTCAGAAAAAAATACACCTAAACCTTTTTTGGGCAAGTGACCATCTATTATCAATAATGAATATGTATTTATTTTTGGTCATCGCTCCAACAAACCTGTCATATAGTTTAAGTTGTATCTCAACTCGTTTAACCGTCAAAATCTATGTGTACAACTGGGTTTTCTGGAAGACCCGTATTTACCAAATTGACGATTTTCCCCTCAGCACGTGCAGGCTCAATTAGAGGGGGAATCGTACCCGTGCAAATATTTGCGTTGGGGGTCCCCTAAGTCGGGTTGATGTTAGGTCTGATGTTGGCGAGGTGCCGAAACGACTATGACGAACTAATCAAGGGGGATTTGAAGGGCTCTACACACCCTCGAGCATCGTTCGAACCCCTTCCGCCGTCTAATAACGTCCGTTTCTTTTTCACCTCACGTGTTAGACGAGAAATGGTGGAGCTGCAAGAGTGAAATCGTCCTGATCGTTACGGTCAATAAGATCAAATAATGCCAACGGGCACAGACTAATGATAAGGGCAGTGGCCTTCAAATGGACAATTTATAATAATTTTGGTAATTAAAAAACGTTTCATATTCTGTTAACAGAAATGTGCAAATGATCACCGTCCAAAAACGTACATATGTAGGTATAGTTTTATTTTACCACAGACCATTAGCAGACAATTAGGACTTATCACTGACCAATAACGATCGTAGATGGAACTTTTTTATCACTAACCAAAATCGCACGTGCAAATGTAGAGTGTTTATCACTAAACAATAACTAATAAATGCGATGGTCAGTTTCAATAACAAACATTCTCATATATAGTTTTTTTTATCGCTGACCAATAACGTTCGTAATGATAAAAGCTGTTATCATTGACCAATAAGAGTACGTAGACTAGTTTTCTTTTATCACTGACCAACATCAGACAGTCGTAAATGATAATAGTTATCACTGTACAAAAATGTAAATATATGTTATTACCTGTTATTACTGACAATCAGCAAATATTCGTAAGTGTTAACGGATCGTACATTGTACATTCTTTCATCATTGACCAAGGGATTCGTAATCGCTTATTTACGTAGATACAAGATTTATATTTCTCAACAATAGCAAACATTCGTAAATGATAACTGTTGTTTTGACTGTCCGAAAAGTATAGAGGTGCTGTGTGCATTCGTAAAGGATGAATGTTGTTATAATCGTCCAAAAAAAGTACAAGGATTTTGTTTTCTTTTATTCTCTAACCAATAGAAGGCATTCGTAAAGGGGAATTGTTATTATCATTGTCCTAAAACGTACATAGATGGAGTTATCTTTTTATCACAGACCAATAACGGACAATCGTAAACGATAATGTTATCACTATCCAAAAACGTATATAGATGTTGATGTCTTTTTATCACTGTCCAATAGCAGACATGCGGAAATAATAATTGTTTTATCACTATCCAAAAACGTATGTAGATGTTGTTTTCTTTTTATCGCTGTCCAATAGCAGACATTTCTTTTTATCACTGTCCAATAGCAGACATGCGGAAATAATAATTGTTTTATCACTATCCAAAAACGTATGTAGATGTTGTTTTCTTTTTATCGCTGTCCAATAGCAGACATTAGTGAATGATAATTGTTGTTATCACTATCCAAAAAGTATGTAGATGCTGTTTTGTTTTTATCACTATCCAATAGCAGACATTCGTAACTAATAAAGGCTGTACGACGTTGCAATATAGTACAGATATTTTTAAATGATAATTGTTGTTATCACTATCCAAAAACGTATATAGATGTTGTTTTCTCTTTATTACAGCCCAATAGTAGACATTCGTAAATGATAATTATTGTTATCACGGCCCCAAAAGTGTATATATATTTTGTTTTCTTTTTATCACTGCCCAATATCAGACATTAGTAAATGATCATTGTTGTCGTCACTATCCAAAAACGTATGTAGATGTTGTTTTCTTTTTATCACTGCCAAATAGCAGCAATTCGTAAATGATAATTATTGTTATCACGGCCCCAAAAGTATATGTATATATATTTTGTTTTCTTTTTACCACTGTCCAATATCAGACATTAGTGAATGATAATTGTTGTTATCACTATTCAAAAACGTACGTAGATATTGCTTTCTTTTTATCCCTGTCCAATAGCAGACATTAGTAAATGATAATTGTTGTTAACACTATCCAAAAAGTATATAGATGTTGTTTTGTTTTTATCACTATCCAATAGCAGGCATCCGTAACTAATAAAGGCTGTACGACGCTGCAATAGTAAATAGATATTCGTAAATGATAATTGTTGTTATCTGTGTGGTGATTAGTGACCATTAATTGATAATTATTCAGAAATCATGAGATGCGGCCTGGTGTGATATAGGTTTCAGAAAAACATTTTCTTTATCGTGCCAACGTTTCGATCTTTATTGAGATCATCTTCAGGGCTCAGAGTGTTTGTCTTTTGTGTAATTGTGACATTCTTGCCTGTCGTGTTGAGAGTGCCCAAAAATTACACCAATTAAAACTCAGTGCCGCCAACATAATACCTACAGATATTTAAAAAAAATTTACACACATCAAAGGGCACTCTCAACACGACACGCAAGAATGGCACAATTGCACAGAAGACAAACACTTTGAGCCCTGAAGATGATCTCAATAAAGATCGAAACGTTGGCACGATAAAGAAAATGTTTTTCTGAAACCTACATCACACCAGACCGCATCTCACGATTTCTGAATAATTGTTGTTATCACTGTCCAAAAAGTACAAAGGTGTTGTTTCTTTTATCCGTAACCAATAGCAGACATTTGTAAATGAGAATTGTTGTTTTCATTGTGCAAAAACCTATAAAAGATGTTGTTTTCTTTTATCTCTGACCAATAGCAGGCATTATCAAGGGGTTATTGTTGTTATTACTGTCCAAAAACGTACATGGTTGAAGTTATCTTTTATCACTGACCAACAGCTATCTTTATAAAATGATAATTGTTATTATCACTGCCAAAAACGTACATAGATGAAGTTTCCTTTTATCACTGAAGAATAGCAGACTTCAGAAAATCATTTTATCACTTTTATCTACCAATAGCAGATATTTGTATATGATAATATCTGTTATTACCGTTCAAAAATATACATAGATTGGTTTTATGTTATATTGAACATTCGTAAATGACAAAGGCAGTTGTAACATAGATAAAATCAACGAAATATCAGAAAAACCTGGCCAATATTAAAACATTTCGGCCTGTAAATAAAGGCAATCCATTTATTTTTACACTGAACACAGTTTAGTACTTAAAAGGAAAAATGATCCCTTGACTTGGTTCTTTTCAGGTTCTATCAAATTAGGACCTATCTCAAAGTATCACCAAAGCTACCGGTCAAGATCGAGGCGAGCATACCGACTCAGAACAAAAATATGCCAGGTGAATGATTTTTTAGTGTTTCGAGAAAGACAAATTATTTTTTTTTTTTACTTGCAGAAAATGAACTCGGATTTCCGGCTTGCGTCATCAACGGAGTCGGGATTAGCAGGACGTTCCAGATACTCTACAGGAACGAGGAGGTCGTCCTCGACGACACGATCATGTACAGGGTGCACATACTCGTCGACAGCCACAAGGTAACTGAAATAAGTGTGCTAATTATAATTTTGACATAATTAAGCAGGTTAATTTTTTTTTTCATTTATGAATAGTTTAATTAACTAACGTATGTGCAGAAGTAATTGCTTTTTTGTAAATTGCAGATAGAAGAAAGCTTGGAAAGGGCGGATTTCACCCTACTTCTTGAGCTCTGGTTCACAGACCAGGCACTGATGACGGACCAGCAGTCGAACATCACCTGCGTCTCTATGAGGACTCTCCAGTTGAGCTTCCTCGCAACCAAGGGACTTCACTACCATCTGCCAGTCCTGTTCGACTATTTCCATCTTTCAGCAGTCACCCTCACCATACACGGAAGCCTGGTCGCACTGCACCAGCCTTACATCAAGTAAGTCCTGAGAAAAAAAGAAAAAATTGTATGCTCTATAATCGAAATTTCTGTCACGCTTCTGTCTCGAAGGAAAAGCATATTGAACCTTGTTCAAAGTTGGTGAGTATAAAAAAATCAACTTTAGGACGGATTTTTTAAAAAAAATAAATGTAATTTTTTTCCAGCACACCTCGCAGCGGGAAAACCTGGCTCGGAAACGCTCAAAAATATAACTTCAACAAAAGGCTCCAGACGACAGCCGCTGATACGGTTTTCTTCAGCAATCTTGTACGTACCCCATCCACATTTTTCTCCGTCGAACTAATTTTTTTTTCTTTTATTTCAAGAACGGTTCGACGAGCAAATGCGTCGGTGGAGGAGGAGGAGGAAGCGGTGGCGGCAGCCGGCTGGCCCACGCTCGCCACGTCCACCAGGAAGTCTGTACGATGCTCGTCGCCTCGTACGACTCTCTTCACTCCACTCTGGAGCAGTACGTTCGGCTCGTCCACACCGAAAGTCATGACATTGGCAAAGTAAACCGAAAAAAATTTCAACCTAGAACGATCCTACAGTTACTTTGTTTCAGGATAATCACAGGAGCCTTCTGGCCGCTATTCAACAGAGGACGGCCTTTCTTCATTCCGAAGCCCACTGGGAAAGGCTCAGGGTAAATAAACCATTATTAACCATTGAACAGTACTGGTAAAGAAATGAAAGAATGGTCATCGTGATAGTAAGTGATGGGTAAAGATGCTGATGTAAGTTTATGGCTGTTTGGTTTTGATATTTAGTAAAAGTGCTGAGATTTTTATTGATGGGTGATGATTGCTGGAATATGGTTATGGATGGATAAGGGTTTTAACCGAAGAGCAGAAGGGGATGGGATGGTTATTTAGCATGAGAGGTGGGATGCTGGAGAGTGAATTGAGGAGTTGCCTCGACCCGATAATTATGGCGGTGGATTTGGACGGATTGAGGACTAGGGAATTTTTATGGGCCCATTCGTTGATGGTGTTTAGGTCTTTTTGCATCTTGAGAATGGCCGAGTGAAGATCGGAAGGGTGGAAGGATATGTATATTTGGGAGTCATCGGCATATAGGTGATAATTACAGGACTGGATGGAGTCGGGCAGACCATTGATATAAATTGAAAAAAGGGATAGGAGAGATGCTAGAGCCTTGGGGCACCCCAGATTTTAGAGGGAGGAAGGAGGAGGTAAGGCCATTGGGAAGGGAGACAGCTTGGTGGCGATTGGTAAGGTATGGTGCTGGCGGAGAAGGAAAAAGATTTGAGTTTAGAGAGGAGAGAAGAGTGAGAGACAGAATCGAAGGCTTTAGAAAAATCAAGTACAAGTATAGTAACTTTCCGTTGGTCCATTGCTAAGTGGAGGTCACTGGTAATTTTTATTAGTGCTGATTGGGTGGAATAACCTTGGCGGAAGCCACATTGGAGAGGGTTAAGAAGATGGGACTGTTCAAGGTGCCTGGAGACTTGTGCTTGGACTAATCTTTCTAGGGGCTTGGACTGGTTTGAGAGGATGGAAATGGGACGGTAGTCGTAGGGGAGGATGTTAACAGCGGTTAAGCGATGTAATTTGTCGACCAGCTACTTCAATGCTCTCAGTCATCTAGTTATTGATCGCAAACCCGATAACTGAGAGCATAGAAATGGCTAACGTTGGTTAGAGATGGTCAGATGTGGTTATAGATATTTATAATTGCTTAGACGTTGTTAAAAGTGTTTAGGGTTGGCTAGAGATGGTTAGGAATCGTTAGGGGTGGTTATAGATAGAGGAAATTAATTACAGGTTATTAGGGATGTTTTGTTATGGATTGTTAACGAAGGTTGTTATGATAGTTAGCGTTGGTTAAAAATTGTCTGTGGATGTTAGAGATGGCCAAAATTGGTTAGAGATTGTTAATGGTATTTTTGGACTGTTATCGATAGTTAAGGTTCGTAAGAGATGGTTAAGAATCGTTAAGAATGAATAGAATTGTTTAGATGGTGGTACAATGTTAGATCTGGTTAGGGTTGGCTAGAAGTAGTCAGAAGTGGATAGGGATGAATAGGAATGGTTAAGGTTGGGTAGAGGTAGTCAGATGTGGTTAGAGATGTTCAGAATGGCTTAGATGTTGTTAGAATGTTAGAAGTGGTTAGGGTTGGTTAGAGGTGATTACGAATCATAGGAATCGTCCAAGATGGTTAGATGGTCATATGTGGTTAGAGATTTTCAGGGGGCGTCGGTGGCCGCAACGGTTTAGTCGTAAGGTAAAGCTCCCGAGTTCGAAGAGAGATTTTCAGAATTGCTTAGATGGTGTTAGGATGTTAAATGTGGTTAGGGCTGGTTAGAGATGGTCAGAGATTTTCCAAATTGCTTAGATGGTGTTAGAATGTTAGAAGTGGTTAGAAATTGCTAGTCATGGTTTTGAACTGTTATCGATACTTAGGGTTGGATAGAGATAGCCTGTGGTGGTTAGAGATGTCCAGAATTGATTAGAAGTTGTTAGAGGCTTTTGAATGTTTTCGTATTGGTGTCGATCATTGCTGTAGGTTAGAGATCGTCAGAATTGGTTTAAATATTAATTATAAGTGGGACATATTTTGTTTTTGTAGATGATGGAAGGCGAAGAAGAATTTGCAATGGTTGCGAATTCGGACATAGCTCAGCTCTGCGCCGAGAACATCGTCCTCTGGCACCAATTCCTCGAGCTGAGTTCCTGCCAACAGCCGATCAACGCTCACCTGGCCTCCGTGCACCACCATCTTCGCGTGAAGAGGTTCGCCGAGGGTTTTTTCGTTATGGACAACCCACGGCAATCGGCGGCCGGGTGCTACGACCAAAACTACCAGACTTACCTCGCCGTGTCCGAGCTCGCCAAAAGAAGATATCTGAGCCTGTTGCCCCAGCTACCTGTCCATTGCCCGCAACTAGACGGCGATGTCAATTCCCTCCCAGTAATTTTTGAGGACCAGTACCAAGACGTAGCGGAATTCGCCAGGAGGAGATCTGCCGCACGAAAAGCCGGCAGTGGTAGGTTAATTTTTTAAAGCATTGCTCATGACTATTTACTGTTTGTTTGTTATAGATCCTTTTCTGGCGAATTGTGGTGTAGAGACTAAGACTGAAAGCAATAGTAACACTACTGTTGCCATTTCCCATCCCCCTGCTCAGGAAGACTGTAGCTGCGGGATATCGGCGATTCTGCAAGCCAGATCGAAACAGAACCATTCGGCATCGCAAAGTAGGTTACTTTTGTCAGTTTAAGATTTGAGGTTTAAGGTGGTTTATTTGTTGGAATAGGAGGTGGTGTTTGGTCTGATTATGAGCAAAGGAGCAACGGCGCGAACTCTTGGGGTTTGGTACCTCAGGCGAGGCATAGCAAGTCGTTGGATCATCTCCTCCGGGCACACCAGCCCCTTGCGCTGGCCCTCCCTCTCGGCTCGAGCCACCATCATCACCACACGACCATATCTAAAAAGGAACCGTTGACCATAGACTGTTCCACACTACCGACGAGGGGTTCCAAGAGGACAGAAGAGCCTTGCGATTTCAGGACCCTACCGTCGAGGACGAGGCACTACAGGCAGGAAGCCAGGAAGAAGGCTTTAGAGTCCCGGCCGTCTGACCGTGTCGTCAACGGTCATCACTACCCCCAGCAACCGGGAAAAGGAGGTGTCAAGGGTTTCTCGACCCTCCCGACTAGAAGGAGGCACCACCAGCCTTCAGCGGCTTTCCTGAGGAACGGCGGGCTCGTTGCGACTGCCACTCTGACACGGCAGAAGAAATCCACTGAAGAGGAGAAAGTACTGAGGCTGGAAAGCAGCGTCTCAGTCCCTCATAGGCTAAGTGACAGTGACAAACAGCAAAAACAGGACTCTGAGCTAAAACCGAAACCGACCGGCTCCATGCCGAATCTCGCTTCAAGCCCGGCTTCCTCAATATCATCGCCCTCTTCTGACATCACGTCTGAAGTGAGCGGTTGGGTGTCAAGCCACAGATCTACGCCGTCCTCGAGCCCTCAACCTACACCAACAGGTAACTTCAACTTAAAAAACAAATTGTTCTTTTTATTTAATCTTTATCGATTAGGGTCAGAAACGGGCAAGGATTCGGAGGACGGAGGTTGGAACTTGGAGCACACTTATGAGGAAGTGAAACTGCCACCGCCATCCGAGTTTAGAGACTTGCCACCGCCTGAACCTTTCAGGGATCCTCCTTTGCTTCAACCTCTACCTCAGCAGCCTCCTGAAGAACCACCTCAGCCTATCGACAACCTCCTCTATCACATGTATGAAACAGTCCGAAAAGAAATCCTAGCAGAACAATGCACACAGCAGGACCTAAGGAACAACTTGTATGTACATGTCTACATAGTCGTGTTCGGTATTTAAATTTTTTGTTTTAGATCACCTCTAAAGTTGAACAAGTCGATGCCGAACAGCCCGGCCGCCAACGACGAAAGCCTCTGCGAGTGCTACAACGAAGAGAAGAGACTGATACTCAGCACGGACAACATGGAAGACACGACATTCCACAAGTCGAAGGAGGAGTTTAAAAAGCAGATCAACTTCACAGGAATGATCTACAGCGACGTGCCGACTCTTGTGACGACACTGCCTTACTTTCACATTCCCGAGGATCAGAGGGTGTTGAGTACGGACGGCCTCCATCTGGTCATCTGCGTCCACGGCCTCGACGGTAACAAAGCTGACCTTAGGCTCGTCAAGACCTACCTCGAACTCGGCCTGCCCGGTGCGCACCTTGAATTCCTCATGTCGCAAAGAAATCAAGTAAGTTTTACTCAAATTAAACCTGGCAAACATTAACCGTCATCCTCAGGGAGACACGTTTTCTGATTTCGACACCATGACTGACCGGCTCGTCGCGGAAATCCTGTACCATATCGAGGCGAGCGGGATCACACCTTCCAGGATCAGCTTCGTCGGTCATTCCCTAGGCAACATCATCATCAGGGCGGCTATATCTAGACCTCAGTTCAAACACCTCCTACCCAGGCTTTACACATTCTTGAGCTTATCCGGTCCTCATCTTGGAACGCTTTACAACAACAGTGGGCTCGTTAACATGGGTGTGTTTTGTTACTATATCTAGTCCTGATAACAAATCATTCACTTTTTTTATCTTTTAAAGGTATGTGGTTCATGCAGAAGTGGAAAAAGTCGGGTTCTTTGCTGCAGCTTTCTTTAAGAGACGCGGCGGACGTCAGAGACACCTTTTTATACAAACTGAGCCAAAGGTGCAACCTGGTTCATTTCAAAAACATCCTCCTTTGCGGATCATCACAGGACAGGTATGTCCCGCTCCATTCCGCCAGGATCGAGCTCTGCAAAGCTGCTGTCAAAGACAACTCCCCTATAGGTAAATCTTTCAAATTTTCTTTTGACAACCCTTTGATTTTTTTTAATTCCAAAACAGGCAGCGCGTATAAAGAGATGGTACATAACATCATGTGGCCTCTTGTGAGGAAGAGGGAGGTGACACTGGTCAGGTACGACGTCCATCACGCGCTTCCCAACACGGCCAACTCGCTCATCGGACGCGCGGCCCACATCGCCGTCCTAGATTCGGAGCTCTTCATCGAAAAGTTCCTAATTGTGGCAGGTCTCAAATACTTTAGATAACCTCTGGGTTTTTTATTTTTTTTATATGTTTTTTAAAGGGCCAAAGGAAGTCTTTTATTTCCTCGTCTTCCCGTTTTCTTTTCGTATATTGTCCTATGTGTTCAGTCTTTTGGCAGACGTTAAACATTTATGCTCAATCATTCTTCAGTGAGGTTTTTATTGTTTTTCCTATTAGGCAAAAGTGTTTATATATTAAGAAAAAATAGTAAAAATCTAGACAAATTCATGGGGTTGTATCCTAAAAAATAGCCTCCTCTCGGACGGTCACACTTTTATTTCAGGTATAAAATTAAACCAGCACAGAAAATTTATAGATCTAGCATAAAAATTTTCAAAATAGGCTTATTTTCAAAAAATATAAATAAAAAATTGCACGATTAAAAAACAAAATAGTCCGAGATTGAAGGTAGACGAATGTTCCCGACGGAACATTTTCAAAAAAAAATTTTTTTACCTAAATATAAATAAAATAAATATATATAGTTAATTAAAAAAATATTCTCCTATTTAATATTAAAAAAAAGAGGTCTGATATTTTTCAAGGATTCTCTTTGTGCTTTCCCTTTTCCTTTCTCGACCCCCTGAAAAGGAGGATCATATTTGGTCGGAAAAACGTATGCATATAAAAAAAAAACAAGAATATATATAAAAGACAAAGGTATACGTGGAAAAGAGACATGTTAGAGCTTCATTTTCACCTAGGAAGATTGCTTTTCTATAATAAAAAAATTAAAATAAAAAAATATATATAAAAAATGTAAAATTTGTACAAATTTTGCTACACGAATCTTTAGTTTTTAGTCGAGGTAGCCTAGCTGTTCTTATTTTTACCCCCAAATCGATAAAAAAAAAATTGTAACTAGTAAAAAACATTACTTTTCCTTTTTGTCTTATCGTGTGAAAGAAAATCGGGACAACATTGGAAGGCTTGAAAGTTTTACGCAAATTGGAAAATTATCCATCATCGCAGAGCTTAAAAAATACCTTAAAGAAAAATTTTCCTTGTTGATCCATTTTAGCATTTAGGATTTCCGTTAAAAAAAATAAAGATTTAGAAAAAACGTTAAAAATTACAATATATTATATTCGAAACAAAGTCAATTTTATCTTTGTTCATTGTTTCTCATTTTTTTATACATACAAAGGAAAAATTAAAGAAATTCAAATGTTAAAATCTGTTTTTATCCCCGGTGTTTTTATATAAAGAAATTTTATACATGATTGAAACGATTTGTTAGGTTTTATTATTGGTGGGCGGTATGTTTGGTTTTTTCTTCGCCCAGTCTGCCGGTGGATTATTTTTCTTGGAAAAATTCTTTGTCACCCCTGTTAAATCAACGATGTCAATTTAATTGCTCACCGTTACAAAGAAAAAAAAATATTATGACGAAAGAAAAAAAAATATTAGTCTTTAGGTTAAAAAAATTTAAAAAGAAAAAAAAACTCCCAGTTCGCTCCTTACGTTATTAAATAGAAAGTAAATAGAACAATTTTTATTCAAACCTAGTCAAAATATATAAATGACCAATTAAACTAAATGTCAATGGCATTGTTCGATCCGAAAATAAACATGTTTTGAAAATTGTCTGTATATTATGACTTGCCTCAAGTGAAAAGGGGCGTTCGTTGAAACATTCCTTTTGACAATTATTTTGGCCAAACAGTAACCCATTGATTGACTATCGATAATAAATATATAGATTTTTATAAAATTACTATCGATGAAAAAGGCATCGATTGATTGGAAAAATATTACTATCGATAAAATGTATATCGATTTTTTAATAATTGGTAACGATAAAAAGAGACATCGATAGATTTGGATTAAATGACTATTGATCATAACAAACATCGATATATCATTATTTTAAGAACATTAATGTCGATGGAAAGGGACAACTATTGAGTGTATATATATTACTATCGATAATAAAAATATCAATTTTACAAAAATACTGTCGATTGTTTGGAGAAATATTACTATCGATAAAATATATATCGATCTTTTAAAGATTGATATAGATAAAAAGAAGCTTCAATTGATTGGGATTTGTCTATCGATCATAAAAACATTTTCTTCCACATCGATGTTTTAAAACTTAGTATCGATTGAAAGATCCATCTATATATTTATTATGACTATCGATAATTAAAATATCGATATTGTAAAGATTATTATGAATAGAAAGTGCCATCGAATATTGGGCATATATTACTATCGATAATAAGTATATCGATTTAAAACATGCTATCGATGTAAAAAGACCTCGAAATATTGAGTACGTATGGCTTTCAATCATAAGAATATCGATATTTTAAAGATTATTACGGATAGAAAAAACCATCGATATATTGAGTAGAAGTTACTAACGATAATAAGTATATCGACTTAAAAAAGTAACTTTCAATAGAAAGAACCAGCGACATTTGGGTATAAATTATTATCAATAGTAACCACCTCGATTAAAAAAATACTATCGATGGAAAATGTATCGATGCAATTAGTTATTCTATATACACTATTGACAGCAAATGTATCGATATTTTAAATATTAATCTTTATAAAAAAATTCTTAGATAGGGATTATATGATTATCAACCATAAGAAGCATAGATATATCGACCTTTTAAAAGATTATATCGATCGAAAGAGGCATCGATATATTGGGTATATATTACTATCGATACTAAGAATATTGTTATATCAATACTTTAAAAAGAAGACTTGCATGATAGTTATCGATGATTTGAAAAGATTTATCTGGTATCTACGACTATTGATAAACAGTAGCCGCGATTGGGCTTAAATAAAAAGAGCTTTTAACAAAAATAGCCGTTGATATATTAGGTATCGATAAAAAGTATCTTAACATTTAAAACAACTCAATTCAACAAAAAATTGCCATGTTTGATATACCATTGTGACCATCGATAAATAGAGCCAAAAATAGATTCGGTTCATCAGACTATCGATCAATAAAAATATCGATCTTTTTAAAACATTATTATCTATTATATGTCAATATCTACATTATAACCCGTTTATTAACATCGATATTTTTTAAATTTACTATTGGTGACTATCGATTTTTCCTTCTATCAATAGACTTACCAACTTGATTATCGATAACTATCGATAATAAGAGCCATTGGAAAAATACGCGATTTTATTTACCAAACGTCATTTTCTATTGTACAAATCAAATGATGAATATTGATATTTTATAAATTTGGTGTAGACTGCTATCGACATATTTGCCACCCTGTCTTTTGATATCCTTACCAATTTGACTATCGATTAATATCGATAATACGAGCAATCGATATATTCATGCAATTCTTAACTGTCACTATCGATAGTACCTCTGTTGGTGAATGTCGATGTTTTATATTTTAATATATACGACAATCGATATTTTTAATATCGAAATAAGAGCCATCGATATATACGTACATTTATTTAATGTTATTAACGATAGTATAATCTATTGGTAAATATCGATATTTTTACATTTAATGTAGACGACGATCGATTTCCTTAACCAATTGACTATCGATTACTAGCGATATTTTTACAATCGATATATTTGCCATCTATAATAGGATCAATATACGCGTATATTTATTAATGGTCGCTATCGATAATATAATTCACTGATGAATATCGATATTTACCTTTATCGATATCCTTACTATCTTGACTGTCGATCATAAAAATCATCGATACATGCGGATTTATTCCGTCGAAAATGAAAAAAAAATTACAAAATGACCAAAAAATAAGATTTTTAGTAGTTTACAAAAATAGTACAATATATTTAGTATGAAATGGTCTAATTGTTAGTTGTTGGGCTGTTGACATCAGGATTGATATTTTGACTCGAAAGAGATGAGAAGGGAACCAGTTTTGTTTTCCTTTCGATAATTGTGTTATTTGGCCTAATTAACAAAAATCGATTATTGCTCATTACAATCAAACTAAACCAGTTCCTAGTTCAGTTAGAAAGTTTGTATTTTCAAGTTTTTTTTTCTTTTCCCAAAAATTAGTTTAAATTTTGCCCACTTTTGTTCCCCCCGTAAAATTTTTCAACTTTAAATTGAAAAAAAAATATAAATAAGACTTAAATATATATACAAAGAAATTGTTTTTTCACTTTGTCGAAACCGAGTGAGTCTATACAATAATAAAAATAAATATATGAGTGTCAAATAAATTTTTATTGTTAAATTATAATATTTGTTGTCCCTAGAGAAGATTATAAATATTTAAACAAAAAAAAAACAAAAAAAAAGGCAAAAGTTTATATTATATATCACGTGAATATATGTGTATATAAAAAAGAAAATAACCTTTTTGTGATTACATATCTATGTATTTATGGTGACTAGGAACCACTGCCATATAAACAGTTTTTTCTTATGTTATCTCCTTTCCATGAGGAATGTATGCCATAAATATTAACCGGTATGTTTCATATATATATACATGAAATAAAATGACATGACAAATTTTAAAAATAAAAGCATAAAATAAAAAAATTACTTTAATTATCTTGTAAAACTGTCTCAAGGAAAATACACACTACTTTATTTTAACTGTGTATTCATTCTACCAATTCAGCTTTTCTATTTTATTTTCAGGTCTAACTCTTAATGAGAAGAGTTGGAAAATTATCGATGTAAAAGATGTGATTTTATAAGACAACATTATATATATACAGGGTGAATTGCTACTCGTGCTACAAACTTCTCCAGTAGATTCTTCACCCTAAAATGAACAAAAAAGTTCATATTGTCCATNGAATCGGACCATGGACAATATGAACTTTTTTGTTCATTTTAGGGTGAAGAATCTACTGGAGAAGTTTGTAGCACGAGTAGCAATTCACCCTGTATATATATCGATGTTACGCCATCCATTGATAAGAATCGATATTTGGTCAATCTATTAACAACATCCAACACAACTGATGCAGTAGTGGAAGTTAAATTAATTGAAGAAAAATTCAAAAAGAGAATAAAAGTCGTTCTTTTTGTAAATGATGGTTCTACCCACAGGTTTGTCGACGTTTTGAAACTTGGCAATCGAATAACCTATATGATAAGCCATAAAGATGAATTGATATTGTATACTTTCTTTATAGATTATCATTCAACAAGTGACAATATTGCTTTCCTACGACCATCGTTAGAAATCGATATTGTGTATTTTCTATATTTATTATGATATTTGGTTGTTTCACTATCAAATACCTAAATCGATTTTTAACAATCGATATTGTGTTTTTGCACTATTGATTATGATTGGTAGGAACCATCGAGATGTAACAGTTACTATCGATACTACGAGCCTTTTAAGGAGAACAATCGATATTTGTTGTTTCACTATCGATTTTAGAAAATCTATATTGTGTTTTTGCACTCGTATGATTGGTAAGAACTATCCAGATATAACAGGTGACAGTTTAACCGTTTTTTAAGCCATGTTAACAATTATATTTATCTAATTATCAAGCATTCTACGTTATCCTATCTTTAGTTATCAATAATTGATCATTATTTAAAATATTTAATGAAACTTTCAAAAAATGAACCTAACCTGACTACTAAGGTTATGTTAACTAGTGATGTTAGTAAAAATATTTATGTATTTAACTCCTGCCTTATTCTTCTTACCAATAATTGATCATTATTTGAAGTATAAATTGAATGTAACTGGCAAATATCCACCTAACCTGACTTTTCTTTTTTGCTATAATAGCCGGTGTTTATGTTATAACCAATCAACTGTCAAATATCCACCTAACCTGACTTTTCTTTTTTGCTATAATAGCCGGTGTTTATGTTATAACCAATCATTTTTACGGTAATTTTGTTGTACAAATGTGTGTAAAATTGCGCAAGCCCGTAGATGAAATATGCATGACTATTGAAATCGTAAACCTAACCTAATTCTGAAACCTGAATTCGGTCTTTTTGAGGTTAGGTTATGTAATTATCATACAATCTATGGTATCCTGCGTATTTATTCATTGCAATATCCCTACTTAGCAATGGTTCATCATTGTATAAATTATTAATTAAATGAAGCTTTTAAAAACAATCAATCTAACCTCATGTAAGGATATTTTATCTTACCAGGTTCTTTCAACTGGATTATTGGAATTATAGTGAAATTCGTGTTTTTATTTACTGTGTATAAATGTTTTTGTTAATGTTTCACCTGTTTTTTTACCTTATGTTTATTTTCCCAAGAATCAGCCAATTAATTGAAAATTTGAAGTTTTTATTTTTCCAAATTAGCCGTTTTCATTATCTGATCGCTTCCAGTATAGCGCTGAATACGATTGTGACCGTGTACGCTCCGACTTCCGGCTCGCCCGGGATGTGATTTTGGCTTCTCATCTTTCGTGTGCTGTTCATCCCCAGCTTGGCCTCGTTCAGCAGCTCGATCATTAACGGGACCTGCGAATTCGTTGGATTTATGATGCGGACGGCTCGACTGATTGAGAGAACACACTTACTCCGTCCAGAACGACCTCCGATTCGGAGCTGACCAGCTTGTTGTACTTCCTGAGCGGTGGGACGAGGGCGTCAAGGAGAGTACAGTCGCCTTCTTTCAGTTTGCCGAAGCAGATCAGGTTTTTAACGCCTCCTTCCAGAGCCATGCCCCACATCCAAGGTTCCATGTCGACAAACCTCGAAAAACAAAGAAAAGCCTGAAACCGAATAAGTTTTTTTTAGGGGGACATCAAGGAGTAGTTTTAGTTTGTCGTGTACCTCAGCCGCCCCTTGGAACACGAGGCCGTACAGGGCCCCGATCGCTCCGTTCATGTTTTCCTCGAGAGTCACCGAAATCTGCTTGAGGAAGCTGTAGGCGGAACGACAGTCGACCTTATTCGTCTTGTTGATCTGGCCCAGGGCCGAAGCGCCTCTGGCTATCGCAGAACCGACGTACCTGTTCAGGTCGTAGGTGTTGAGGAGGGTCTCGACGGCGAGGATCGCACGGCAGACGTAGTTGAGGATGTGAGGCAGCTTCGTCTCGATGTCCGGAGGGAAGGACGGGCCGAAAGGTTCGATCGGCTTCGATATCATCGTTATCGATTTCATTATGCTCGGGACCTGGCCGCATTCCTTTCCATGCCACGCTTCCACATCCACTGGCGCATCGATCCTAATTGACAAATTAAAAAACAATAAATCATAAATAAAAACCAAATACTGATTATACAAGCCTGAAACAAACTAACCTAACCTATCACTTGTATGGTTAGGTTATATCAAACCAAATTTCTTATAACTTATATGTTTAAAGTTAACACATAGCCTATAAAATATTAATTAACGATCATTTAGTATAGCTATGTTAAACGAAAAAGTAAGATCACCTACATTTCGAAAATGTTTAAAAGTTAGGTTATGTTAAACCGTATTACTTAAACATACTGTGTTTCACCGTCAAAAGATATCACGAATATCCATAACAAATAAATCGTTCTAATTATTTGAAATTTCACTATCGATAGTATACGCAATACAGACGAATCGATATTGTGAAATTTCACTATCGATTATGGATTGCAAGAACCATCGGGAGATTCGGTAAGTATCGATAGTGAGAACCGTAGGAGAAAAATGATATTTCGTTATTTCACTATCGATTACCAACATCCACTGTTAGAAACCGATATTTAGCTATTGATAATACACTCTATAGGTAGATATTGATATTGTGTAGTTTCACTATTGATTATAATTTGGTAAGAGTCATCCAAAATATCGTGATTATCGATAATAAGAACCTTAAGAGGAAAATCGATATTTGGTTATTTCACTATCGATTACCAACATCCATCATAGAAATCGATATTTTACTATAGATTTACAAGCCTTATACAAGAATCTATATTGTGTAGTTTCACTTTCAATTATCATTTGATAGAGACCATCGATTTGTTCGTAATATCGACATTAAAAGCTTTAGAAAAAGAAACGATATTTAGTTATTTCACTATCGATTATCGAAATCTGTCGTTAGAAATCGAAATTTTGCTATCGACAATATCAGCTATAGATCGAAATCGATATTGTATAGTTTCACTTTCGATTATCATTTGATAGAGACCATCGAGTTATTCGTAACTATCGATAGTAAAATCCTTAGAAAAAGAATCGATATTTAGTTATTTCACTATCAATTATTAAAATCTGTTTTTAAAAATCGATATTTTGCTATCGACAATATCAGCCAGCCATAGATATGAATCGATATTGTGTAATTTCACTTTCGATTATCATTTGATATATACCATCGGAGAGTCGGTAACTATCTATAGTATGAGCCATCGATAGCTATCGACAGTGTAGACCATTGAGAATAATCGATATTTTGCAGTTTTACTATTGATTACCGAGCATCCAAAAAGTCAACCTAATCGAGGCCAGATTATGTAACCCTTTATTATGTTATGTTAATAATAACATTTACGTTTCACGTTCTCCTGAGTATTAGTTCATTGTATTAGCCGTAATTATCAATTACAGATCAAGAACTAATCTTTTTTGAACTGTAAAGTGATTGAAGTTCAACTTAACTACTTTTATTGTGGGGAGGTTATACTAAATACTTGTATTTATGGTATGATGTGTGTCTGCACGTGTTTTATACGTGAATATTCATGTTTTTATTGAAATTGTAAAGCTAACTTAGCTTCGAAACCCAATTAAGGTCCTTTTGACGTTAGGTTATGTTAGGTTATCCACATTAAATTTTTTTTTTTTATGTAAGGCCTTGGTTGAAAATGAAAAAGTGTCACGAGCGATTAGGGATTCGAACCCACGACCTTCGGCTAAACGTAACGAATTTATTAAAATTATTTTCTATATTGACAACGTTATGCATATTGTACATATTTGTGTTTATACTTTACCATTCTAGCAATTCATCGTTGTGCACTTTGAAAATAGTAATGGTAAAACCTCGTTCTCCACGGCTGCTTGTTATGTAGTTGCCGGCGAACACCCTTTCGATGTCCACGTCCAATTTATTCACCTGTCTTATAATCTCTGCCGTCGCAGAATACAAGAACATAGAATCTTGTGTATAGGAATTGACAAGGAGGACGATTTTGTTGAGTGGTGAAAGGGGCAGTGAAAAATACCTGTAAGGGTTTTCAGTTTTAGGTGTGATTTAAGGTGGGTTTTTTAATGTTTGTACCTGCAAGGATGCGTGGCGTATTGTATCATCCATGTGATTATATCTTTGAGTTGTACGTCCCTTATGGCGATCCTGGCACCTTCGTCCGCGTTGGTGGAAGTGCCGATCCTCACTTGATCCGGTAATATGTGGCATGAAATGGTCGCCATTAAAATGGTCCTGCAAGTAATGAATATTTCCTTGATCTGTTTTCCCTTTTCTGACATGGCCCCGGCGATTTTCAGTACGAGAAGGATGCCGGTGAGGCCGGGTCGACCGGCACCGCCTGGCCTTTTGTCCTCGAAGCAGTCGTCGCTCACTGTTATCATATCTATCAGGATTCCCCTCTGCCGTGCCCTCTGCATGGCGAGGCCGAACGCGACACGGTTCTCGTAACTGTTCTGCACGATGATGAGGATGCCGTTGTTGTTGTCTATCGTCATTTCCTCGATGGCTTTGTCGATCGCAGACACCTTGGGAGCTTCGTACCTGTCACCGATGACCGCGGCCGTGAGCATCCCTTTACCGACGTAGCCCCCGAAAAGAGGGTCGAGCCCGGCCATCCCTCCGCCAAGGATCCTCACCTTGCTGCCCATTTCCATGTGGTCGCGTCGCATCAAGATGTGCTCGCCTTCTATCACCATGATCTTACTGTTGCAGATCGTCTTTGTTATAAGGTTTTCGTAGATTTGGTCTCGGTCCGTCAGCATGTAATTCGGCCAGGCGAATTCGTCGTCTTCATCGGGAGGCTTTTCCGTCGAGAACAGCTGGTGGAGAGACTTGGGCATTTCGCTCCTGTAACTCTCCTCCGACTCCGGCCTTATCACTTTCAAACTGGATCTGAAGTTTTTATCAAACAAGTAAATGTAATGACTCTAAGTAAAATCACATTACATAAGCCATCCAACTGCCTCACGACAATCAGGAAGTGAACCTGAAGTAAGCTGAGTTGCTAAAAAAATTGGATGACCAAAGAGTGAGTAGTGGAATTGGTTGTACCTCGGCATTGAACACTTATCGATGTTCAAGTCATAGCGAAGGTATTGTGCACAGAAAGGATGATTTTGTATTTAAGTAATTGGATTCTATAAGAGTTGGATGCTCATGGTCAGTCACATAGACAAGAGGTGTCCATGCGTCAAGGTCCTAGAACCACACTATTGAGGTGTACAGGAAATAGGGTTTTTCTCGTCAAAAGATGATAAGGTTAGACTGAAGGGGTTTGCAACTATCAACAGGTAATTGGGGGGATTGGACATAGTGAGTGTAAAGGGATCTAGGAAACTGCCTTGGGAGACTCCCTCACGGGCTTGATGGATAGGTGATAGTGAAGAAAATCACCCACTTCATAAAGACCGTAGGGTGAGACCGAATTGAACGAGAGGCGAGGTCAGGAATGCAGTAGGTATTGCAAATTTAAACAGGGAAGTATTGCGATGATTGAAGAAAATAGTGGGACGTAAGACGCTACCATGCTACGCTCATGCCTGAAGGCTAGATGGATGAGCGAACTGGAAAAACCAAAGTACTGACATTGATTTTTATCCACATTTATCCTACACTTCTTAAGCACGAAAAAGTTAGACTGTATGGAGCGAACTTCCAAGGATGGGATAGTAATATCATAAGTAAGTATAATCTTGTACAGGAAAGTATTAGTAAGATTGGTCATGTACAGCAGGGAATATTAGGTAAAGGGTGGAACCTAGGACACTGCCTTGCGAGACTCCTTTACAAGCTAGATATATTGGCAAAAAGACAAAACCGTACGTCAACCGAAAGTAGCGTCGGGAAAAGGATGGTACTGATTTTTATACACTTCTTCAGGATAGTAAGGTATGGTGCGAAAAACAAGTACAAGGCATGCAAATTCTAAACAGGTGGCATTGCAATGCAAAGGTGATGTACTAGAAATGGTTCGGAAATGTGGATTAGGAAAAGAGTGGGACCTAGGGCGCTGCCTTGGGGATCCCTTTACTGGGAGCGAAGCCAATCAAAGATAGCGGTCTGCAAAGTGACATACTGTTATTGATTTTTACCCTCTTTAAGGACGGAAAGGTGAGACTGTAGGCAACTTTATCAACAGTGTATAAGAAAATGAGATCTAGGGCATTGCCTTGGGAGACTCCTTGGTGAAGGAGAACTGTATGTCACCCAGAAGTAACAGTCAGTAAAACTAATGCACTGGCAATGAGCTAGGACTGAAGATTAGTAAAGAGTGGGAGGTAGGACATGCCTTTAGGGACTTCACTTCTTAAGAACGGAAATGCCAGGTTGTATAGAAAGAACAAGAAGAACAGGATTGCACATGATGAACAGGGATGATTGGGGTTGGTCAAGAGTGTATATTAAGTAAAGGATGAAACCTAAGATTTTGCCTTGAGGAGACTCCTTTGTGGCCAGAAGGAATGGGCGATTCGATCGGTACAAAGAACCGCCCGCAAAATAGGTGTCTAGGGTGAGGTCATACGATTATCTCGTCTTTGGACTTACACGTCGACCTCGGTGAGACTGGAAATGAATTTGTCGAGCTTTTGGTCACCGCTCGGTTTGTTCACGTCGTACTCGTCGATGTAGACTTCTTCCTCTTCTACTTGAGATGGATAGATCCTGCCTATTTCGGCGCTGGCGATCCTCGATCTCGGTTCGTCAGGAATCACGTCGATGCTCTTCGACCTGATGCTGCCTGCGCTTTCAGCCGTAACTGACCAAACAAAAATTGAAGCAATGTCTTTTTGAAAAAATGAAATGAATACTTACTTTCAGATTTTACGCTTGGCTGTTCGTAAACTTCTTCAGGCTCTTCTTCCATCTGGACTTCTTCTTTTTCCTGCACCTCTTCCACCTTTTTCTCGACCGAGGTCTGCGAAGGAGAGCGCACATCGGGTGGCTTCGCTTCGTCCTCGCTAGAAGATGCCTCTTCCAAAACGATCGGACCAGCTTCGTCTTCACTCTCGATGGCAGACGGTGCGAAATACTCGGAAGAAGGGGCGTCCAGCTCGTCCGGCTTGGATAACTCGTGCTTCAACATCTCGGCCAATTCCGCTTCTGAAGGCTCGTCCACCTCCGGCAGTTCGTCTTCTGAGAGGAATTCGGACGAGTCCGACATCCCGTACTCGGTCTGTTCTTCATTTCTGTTTGTCAAGTTTAAACTTTAACACTAACATAATCGTAAGACACAGTCTTCACGAAAGAAATGGATCGTGATCTTTGATAAAATAGATAGGACACACAATATTTCTAATTTATTAATATCTGATGAACGAACTGCTCTCAATATGAAAGTTAAATGTACAGCCTCATAATGGCTTCCAAGTATACAAACAAGAAATATTGAATTACTTTTCTTTTTTGAGAATAACCAAAACAAATTTGTGGAAGGGCACCCCATTGAAATCATTAGGAGGTGATTATTTTAGTTTTAATAGATTTTCATGTTAACATTGATTCCTTTTTGTATTTGCTTAAAAGGATATAACAAAAATATTGGATTCCTTTTCTTTTCTGACAACAATCTAGCATATAGTGTGTAAAGACACCCCCATTGAAATCCTTAGGGGATGATGATTATGATTTTAATGAAAAAATTATAGATTTTTACATTTTAATTTTGATACATTTTATATTTGCATAAAAAGATATAACACAAAAAGACCACCCAATTGAAATCGTTAGGAGGTGATTATTTTGATTTTAATGGAGAAATTAAGTATAACATTGCATTGTCATATTAGCATTGATTCAATTTTACATTTGCCTAAAAAGATATAACAAAAATATTGGATTACTTTTCTTTTTCTGGCAATAATCTAGAAGATAAATGCGTGTAAAAGAACCCCCATCGGAATCGTTAATTTTTAAATATAAAATTGATTAATCTGCTTAATCATAATCATTATGATTTTAATGAAAAAAATTAGAGATTTTGCAGTCTCATGTTAATTTTGATCAATTTTATATTTGCGTAAAAAGATATAACCCAAAAAGATTCAATATTTTTTCTCTTTTAACAATTACGTACAGTACAAATTTGTAGAAGAGGACCCCCATTGAAATTGCTAATTTTGATAATAATCCCCGTTGAAATCTATAAGGGATGATTATTTTAGTTTTAATGGAAAAATTACCTATAATATAGCATTCTTTTGTTAATTTTGATAAATTTTACATTTGCCTTAAAAAATATAACACAAATATTTTTTGTCTAATTTAGGCCATGGTCCACAATGGAAATGTTTGGAAGGGGAGCCCCATTGAATTCGTTAGGGCATGATTATCTTGGTTTTGAAGAAAAAATTATCTATAATATTGCATTCTCGTGCAATCGTTACCAAAATATTTGATTTTTTCCAATATCGACAATGGTCTGCAATGCAAATTTGCGGAAGGGCACCCGTTGGAACCGTTAAGGTATGATTATCTTGGTTCTAAAGAAAAAAATTGTCTATAATATTGCATTCTCGTGCAATCGTTACGAAAATATTTGATTTTTTCCAATATCGACAATATCGGCACCACATTGAAATGGTTTCAATGTAAAATAATATATGGTCAATTTTACAGATTATAAAATTAAAATTTCTAATTTTTTCTCGTGATTATCTAAAAATATAAAACTTGTTGAAGGGCCATCATCAAACCCATGAACTTTAGCTAAATTATATTCACTAACTGTTCTATTTTACACAAATATTTGACTTATTAAACGATAAACATGCGTAAATAGTTCAACTGTTGTGCAAGACAATAAGCAAAGCTTTTTTTAAAATAAATTTGTTCTATAATTTAAGATTTTAGGTTTAGTTTTAAATAGTAAAACACTGAATTTAAGGGATTTTGTTGGATTTTTGTTATGAGGGAGGAGGGACATTCCATTGTCTGCGGAACCATTCAATTGTAAAAAAGTACTCACCCAGTTTCCGACATCTTTTACCAGATTCAAGACAAAAACGGAGTAAAACCTGAAAAAACAAATAAAAAAACTTCCGAAAAGGTTCAAAATGAAAAATATTTTTTTAAAAATAAAACAGGAAAAAATTTTGGTATAGTTTCTCAACTACATGTGGCAGCATTGTATCGGCCGGGACGACACTACCAGCTGACTGGCCGTTGGTGGTTGTCTCTATTTTCCCGTCGAAAGACGAAGATTTTTTGTATTTTCGCTGATGACGACGCCTCCCTGAGAGATGAACGAATCCAGCGCCTCTTGGTAAGCCTCGGTCGATTCCTTCATAGAGATTTCATAGAGATCGTCTCTGGAATCTCACAAAATAATTGACAGACGGCATATCAGATAAACAGACCCAGGCTTTTTGTCTCCTGAACCGAAGAGAAAACCTGTTTTGATGAATAAAAAATAAATAAGCTTGTGCTTAAGTGCTTTACAGAAAAGTCCAGTATCACTTAAAGAAAAAAAATCCAAAAACTAAAAAAACCCTGTAGGATTTGTTGTCAGATCTCTGGTCAATACTGGCCATAAGCTACAGGGCGCAAACTTTATCAACATTGTTTTTTCAGCTTTAAATAAATATTATGCATGATTTATTATAAAGTGTAGCTTTTACAGGTCTTATGGATACGGGGATGGCGGTTACATGCGTAGCGGCAGTCTTGGCTGGAACGACCCGAACCAAAGGAACAACTCGGCCATTGCGAAGATGCAGCACCAGTACTGGGTTACGAAGGAGACAGTGTTCAGAAAGCTCGGAAAGAAAGAAGACGTGAACATCGTAGCCTCGGACGCAGAGCTCGACGCAAAACTCGAGCTGTTTCGTTCGATCCAAGACAGCTGTTTCGAACTCCAGAGGATAATAGACAAATACCAAGAACGGATTTGCAGTATGTATATTATTTTTTATTTATTTTTTTTTTTTTTCATTAAAGTGTATTTTTTTGGTTTAGTATTAGCTCAGGAGGAGAACAGTATGGGTAGATTTTTAAAAGACGCTGGTAAGCATGATAAAACAGGCGCTGGCCAGGTGATGATGACGTTGGGCAAGAATCTCTCGCATTCCGGCCAGCAGAGGATTTCACTTAGAAATCCGTTGCTCCGGTTGTTCCAGGAGGTCGACACGTTCCGCCACAGGGCGATTGAGGACACGGGTAGGACGGTACAGTCGATGGAGAAGACGCGCACTGAGTACAGGGCGTGCCTTAGTTGGATGAAAGACATATCTCAGGAGCTTGACCCGGACACTTACAAGCAGCTTGAGAAGTTCCGAAAAGTCCAGGATATGGTGAAACAGAGCAAGGCGATTTTTGACCGGTACAAGCTTGACTGCTTGCAGAAAGTCGACTTGCTCGCAGCGGCCCGGTGCAATATGTTTTCCCACGCCCTCATACTCTACCACAATGTTATGTTGCAATTCGCGACTCAGTCAGCACAGGCTTTCTCATCCATCGCAGCATCTTGTAAAGGTAAAGCAAACAAAAAAAAACTCAATTTTACAACAGTTTTGAGTATGTAACTTGGACATCATGCAATTCCTGAAGTCTATAACCATCATAAACCATGCCTGATCATTGATAACAGTAAAGAAACATCCCTAACCTTCTATAGCTTTCTCTTTACTATCCTTAATCACACATATAACCATTTTTGACCATTTCTACCAATACTGAACCATACCTGACCATCTCCAAACATACTTAACCACTTCTTACCATTCCTGACCATCTCTAACTGGGCTAAACCATCCCTGATCATTGATAACAGTAAAGAAACATTCCTAACCTTCTTTAGCTTTCCGTTTACTATCCTTAACCATATTTTTAACCATTTCTAACAATACTGAACCATACCTGACCTCTAGTTATACTTAACTATTTCTTGCAATTCCTGACCATCTCTAACCGTGATCAACCATCCTTGATCATGGATAACAGTAAACATTCCTCATCTGCTAGAGCCTTCTCTTTAATATCCTTAACCATATATTTAACCATTTTTGACCATTTCTAACAATACTAAACCATACCTGACCATCTCCAGTCATACTTAACCACTTCTTGCAATTCCTGACTCTCGAATCGTAATAAACATCCCTGATCATTGGTTACAGTAAATAAACATTCCTAGCCTTCAGTAGCTTTCCCTTTACTACCTTTAACCATATATTTAACCATTTTTACCACTTATTACTATGTTTTTTTCTTAGATCATCCAAAATTTGAATTCAGCGTGGTCAAAGAACTGAGCGAGATGAAACCTGATGAAACAGCATCTCCGAAAAAAGAAAGTCAAGACTCAGACGACAAGTGAATATTGTTTTTCTTTATCCCCCTTCCATTATTTAATATTAAGACATATTTTTTCTAGGCTTTTGAATTTTGAAGATGCCGAGACGGAAAATAACGATGAACAGAAAAAAGACGATGTTAATTTATTGATAGAACCGCTTCAGGACGAGACGGGTCATTTTATGCCTTCGCAGCTTCTCCTTCAGGGGAATTCATCACTCCTGGGCCATTTTGAAGGCCTTTCCAGCGAAACGTCCTCAGCAGATTCTAGCACGGTGAGTAGTTAAGTAATTTCATATGCTGATTTTTTTTCATGCTATTATTTTCTTTTTCCATGCAGAAGGCGCCGAAGGGCACGTCTGACGGGAGCAAATCCTGGCTAGAGCTTTTCTCAGAACTGGACCCGCTCTCCAACCCGGACATGATAGGCCAAGTGGCTAGCACCGACCCTCTGAGGAACTGCTAATTCTCACTCATCTCAATTTAATTTAAATTATTAGCAGAAAATACTTATATATGTACCAAAAAAAGTATGAGACTTATATTATACCAAAGCAAGTTATCGGTTTAAACCAATTTTTTATATTATCCACTTGTTTTGTTTTTTTATTATTGTTTTATTTCTTTGTTATTTGGCTTTTTTGTTATAAAAGACAATATATTGCTTATATTGCAAACATATATTTTAACCATGAACATATATTAATGGAAATACAAGTTTTTACATATTTCTGTGTATTTGTTTTTTTCGTTTTATACCCTATTTCAAGGCTTATTGAACATATTTGCATCTTAAAAAATACGTTTTTCGTATACAAAACAAAAAAAAAAATTACAGACAAGTTAATTTTATTGGCGTTGACTTACCAATGAAGTAAAACAAAATCTTTTGCAAGCCAAAAAACTATTTTGCTGATCAATTGTGTCTTCCATAGACAACAAGAAGTCTAGTGGCAAAAACAATCCACCAAAGGCCTTTCTATCCTCTAGGAAAAAAAGAAGAGAACCATAATTACCTAAAAAGATAATAATTACAAGACTCAGGAACAAATTTTATAGCATAAAAATAATTTGATAGAGTCCAAAAAAGTATTTTACTGATTAAAACATTATAATCCAAAAAAATTGTCTTACTAGGAAAAGTAAACCCCTCTTTCATAGGCTTAAACATTTAGCTACTGGACAAAAAATATTCATTACAAGCCATAAAAGCCTTCTATTGGGTTAAAAACAAGTCAAAAAAATATTTAAATGACAAAAGGTTACAATCCGACAACATTATCTTACTATCAAAAACACTAAAAATAAAAAAAAAAGTATTTTGCCATCCAAAACAAATTGAAACGTTTGTCTTTCTATGAAAACGTTTTTCCCTTTTTAGAGATTTAAAAAATCAACTGCTCATCAAAATGTTGGTTTTCTGCTCAAAAAAAGTATTACTAACAAAAACTTCACAAAAAATTATATTTATTATTAGTTGGCTACCGCCCAAAAAAATATGTGCGATTAATCAAAAAAAGTCTATTATTCATGTTATAGTTGAAAAAAGTATTTAAGTGATCAAAAAATTTAGATTTTGTAAAAACTGTGTTAGACCTCAAAAACAATTAATTGACTAAAAGTTTGCAATCTGATAAAATTATCTTATTATCAAATACCTATTTGTGGACTAAAAACAGTTTATAACAGTCCAAAAAAGTATTTTGCTGTCCAAAACTTTACTATCCAAAACATTTTTCTTACTTTGAAAACTAATACCCTATTTTATAGACTTGAAAAATCAACAGCTCATCAAAATATTAATGATGAAAAGTTTATAATCTGATAAAATTCTCTTATTAACAAAAACCTATTTATGGACTAAAACCAATTTGCAACAGACCAAAAAAAAGTAGTATGCTGTCCAAAATATTACAATCTTAAAAATTTCTCTTACTATGGAAACTGAAACCTTATTTTATAGACTCAAACAGTCAGCAACTTGCCAAAAAATGTTTGCACTGACCAAAAAAGTTTTCTATAGTCCAAAAAGGCATTAAAATAAAAAAAAAATATTTCAATGACCAAAAGTTTGCAATCTGATAAAATTCACTTATTATCAAAAACCTATTTATGGACTAAAACCACTTTGCAACAGCCCATAGTATTTAGCTGTCCAAAACATTATAATTTGAAACATTTCTCTTTTTATGAAAACTAATACCTTTTTTATAAACATAAAAAAATCAACTGCTCGTCAAAATGTTGGTTTTCTGCCAAAAAAAGTATTTTACTAACAAAAAGTCCACAAAAATGTATATTTATTCAAACATTCACCAACTGAACAAAAAATCTTTTATTGACCAAAAACGTTGTATTAAGATTGAAATATGTATTTCAATGATGAAAAGTTAATAATCTGATAAAATTATTTTATTAACAAAAACCTATTTATGGACTAAAACCAATTTGCAACAGACCAAAAAAAATTAGTGTGCTGTCCAAAACATTACAATCTTAAAAATTTCTCTTGCTATGGAAACTAAAACCGTATTTTATACTCAGTCAGCAACTGGCCAAAAAATGTTTGCACTGACCAAAAAAGTTTTCTATTGTCCAAAAACGCATTAAAATTTAAAAAAAATCTTTCAATGACCAAAAGTTTGCAATCCAATAAAATTCACTTATTATCAAAAACCTATTTATGGACAAAAACCACTTTGCAACAGACCAAAAAAGTATTTGACTGTACAAAATGTTATAATTTGAAACATGTCTTTTTATGAAAACTAATCAACTGCTCGTCAAAATGTCGGTTTTCTGCCCCCCAAAAAAAAGTATTTTACTAACAAAAAGTCCACAAAAATGTTTATTTATTCAAACAGTCAGCAACTGACCAAAAAATCTTATATTGCCCAAAAACATTGTATTAAGATTGAAATATATATTTCAATGATGAAAAATTTTTTATTTATTTTATTTTATTTTACGAGGGTTCGCAACAGCAGAATACTTTTTTATATATTTTATATTTTATCGACTTTTTTGATCAGTGCAAACATTTTTTTGGTTATATCAACCCTCGGGGAGCAGGTGTTTTTGAAAAAAAAGCCCATTTGTAAGTATGTCGGGTTTGAATGCAGGGCCGCTGGATTCGAACCTGGGACCTTAACCTTCAGTGATGAGGGCCGAGTCAACGCCTAAACGTTTATAATCTGATAAAATTCTTTTATTAACAAAAACCTATTTATATACTGAAACCAATTTGCAACAGACCAAAAAAAAAGTAGTTTGTTTTCCAAAACATTACAATCTCAAACATTTTTCTTACTATGGAAACTGAACCCTTATTTTATAGACTCAAACAATCAGCAACAGACCAAAAAAATGTCCACTTACCAAAAAAGTCTTCTTTTGCCCAAAAACGTTGCATTAAAATTCAAAAAAACATTTATAATCTGATAAAATTCTCTTAACAGTAAGAATATATCGTATTTTATGAGTTTTTTTTTACAAGATTGAACATCTCCACCATTTTTATACATGTAGGTTACAAAATGTCTACTTCCGTCCACAAAAAGTTGTTTAGTTTGTCTCAGGTTTCATTTATGTTGGACGATATTGGACGTTATGACTGAAATGGCATCCGTGGTTCGTCGTAATGCTGTTGAAAAGCGAAATTAGGCGGACCGCGAGATAGCAGCAGGCGGTGTTTAAAAATCGAGAGAGGAAATAATCGAGAGCCGAGAGTCTCCGACGCAATAACGTCAATCGTGATTCGTGACCGAGCGATGTCATCGGGAATAGGAGGAAGACACCTGGGACGTGACGACCGTTGTTTAGCCCACTTTCACCTCCTGGGCCTGGGCCAGTGAACTGTTCGTTATGTGACGACTTATCTCTGTGAAGACCTTTGAAGGGCTTTTTTCTTTTTTTTTCTTTCGTGATATCAGTACTGCGAATATGGGCTCGAGCGCCAACCACGTCCTGACCCTGGCAAACTGCATCATCGGAGTCAGCGTCCTCACGATGCCCTTCTGCTTCAAGCAGGTGAGTCCTGCACCGATTGTGATGACCGGACCTTTTTTTTTTGACTTTGCGGAATGATTGAATAAGGGGCTTTTTTTCATCGGATGTACGTTGAAACCAACGTTCAAATGATGCTACATGTGCAGTGACGTGTCCACTTTCGACTTGCACCCATAAAAACCCATGCCGATGATCTCCCTGCCTAGGTTTACCATGTTGTCACTTCAGCCTTTGTCAACTGCCATTAAAAAAAAAAAAACCTCAAAAACTTTCCTTCAATATTGTAAATTTTACAGTACAGTCCATAATTTGGTACCTTTACAACCTGACGTGTGCAAAAGTGTCAAAGCAAATTTGGCAATATACTCGATATGTGTACTTTTTCAAGCTAATGTATGAATTAATGAATAATCTAAACTTGCTCTCTAGGGTTTGACAGTGATGAAATAATTTTGTGATATTCATCGAACTAAAGTTGGTCGCTTCGCGTTGATGTTTGCTTCGTCTGAGGTAAATTGAGAGATTTCAGTTATCAGCCATGACCGAGGTGTCACCAGTCACCAGGTTTTATCGGCTTCCATTTTGTAGTTTTTAAATTGTGTCTTGAAATGTTAACAGTGTGTACCAGGCAACCAAGATGGGGTTCTGGGCTTCCTTGAGCGGTTCAATTTTGTAGATTGTTCCTTAAATCGTTAACTATGATCACATTCGCTGAGATGTTTGTCATATGGCCTTCCATTTGCCACTACAGTTTGCCCATAGTTTTTATAAATGATAAATGATGATCATCACCGAGTTGTTTGCCCCATAGCCATGTAATTGTGTAGATTGTTCCTAAAGCCGGATCCAGACGAGTGTAATGTAACACGTAACGTAACGCGTAATGCAAGGCGAATTCTTTGTGTGGACGCTACTACGAGCATTACATGTAACGCTCGCCCAACCGTTCGACCGGATCCATCGGGGTGTCGGTTTTTTGTGCGAACATAAAGGCGCTCGCAGTTCTCATTTGGACGGCGTTCGTGGCAGTTGTGTAGTGTGGACGTTCATGATGTGGAGTGACGAACAGTCGCTTGAACTTATTGGTTTATACCAAGGAAAACTGGAAATTTGGAATCCTAAAAACCCGGATTATTTAAAAAAGAATCTGAAAAACGATGCATGGAGTGAAATTGCCTTTTCGTAATACGTACAATAAATACGTACAAATAAAAGCAGCACCAGCTATCACGACCTTCCTACTCAGCATGTTCGTAGCAACTGAGAGGAACAGCCCCCTCTTCAAGATTCGTGTTACATGATTCGCGTTGAGTTCGTTTGCCGTCCACACTGTTCACTCTAAATTACACGTAATCTTGCATTACACGTTACACCCGTCTGGACCCGCCTTTAAATGGTTAACGGTGATCACAGTCACCAAGATGTTTATCCCATCAGCTTCCATTTGCCATGTAAGTGTGTAGATTGTTCCTTAGATGGTTAACGGTGATCACTATCACCGAGATGTTTGTCATATGGCCTTCCATTTGCCACTACAGTTTGCCGTTAGTTTTTATAAATGGTCACCATGATTAATGGTGATCATCACCGAGTTGTTTGCCCCATCAGCCATGTAATTGTGTAGATTGTTCCTTAGATGGCTAACGGTGATCACTATCACCGATATGTTTGTCATATGGCTTTGCATTTGCCATATAAATTTGTAGATTGTTCTTTAAATGATTAATGGTGATTACTATCACCGAGATGTTTGTCCCATTGGCTTTCATGTGCCATGTAAATTTGTAGATTGTTCCTTAGATGGTTAACGGTGATCACATTCGCTGAGATGTTTGTCATATGACCTTCCGTTCGCCACTACAGTTTGCCGATTGTTTTCTTAATTTATTAATGGTGATCACTATGATCGAGATGAAATTGTAAAACATGTTCTTTTGAGGATTTTGTTTAATATTTGGCAAATTTTATTTGTTTCTTCAGAATATTTTTTTGTTTCTAGTGTGGAATAGCTTTGGCAATATTGATGTTGTACCTGAGCAGTCAGATTACAAAGCTGTCATGTCATTACCTTCTCAAATCGGCGATAATGGAAAAGATGAAGAATTTCGAGATGCTCGGTACATTGTAATGTCATAAGTGTTGGGCTGTTTAATTTTTTCTTTTTTGTTGATTTTGCAGCTTTCAGGGCTTTTGGACCGACTGGGAAAACAATGGTCGAACTGTGCATCATCGGCTTCATGCTCGGATCCTGCGTCGCTTTTTTTGTCATCATGGGTGACCTGGGGCCAACGATCGTTGGGCCTGTGCTTGGCATCGAGCACGTTAGCGCTTTAAGGCCAAGCGTCTTAATAGGTAAATAATACTAAAAAAAAACTTTTTTCTGAGCATGGTGAAATTGTATAAAATTTTTTAAATACATAATACACATTGTATTAAGGAAAATGTATAGTAAGGGGTTTCTAGGGATTGCTGTGTTTGTCGTCCTCCCACTAGGCCTCCTGCGTAATGTCGATAGCTTGAGTACGATTTGTACGGCGTCGATTGTCTTCTACATGTTCCTCGTTTTAAAGGTGTTCACTGAGGCTGCGAGCAACCTTCTGGCGGGGAACTGGCTTGACAAGGTCTCCTGGTGGCGGCCGTCTGGCGTACTTCAGTGCATACCGATCTTCTCGATGGCCCTTTCTTGTCAAACGTAATAAAATACTGTAAAAACACAGTTATAAAAATAACTCAAATTTTCTTTTATTTACAAGGCAACTTTTCGGTATATTCGATTCGCTTCCAAACGCCCAATTGGAAAGGACGAATGCAGTCGTCAGACTTGCCATCAACATGACAACTCTGTTTTACATCGCAGTCGGATTTTTTGGTTATACTGCCTACTACAACCAGTCTTTTTCAGGTTTTTAAAGAAACATTTTCAAATAGAGAAAAAAAAAGAATAAAAATAAATAAAATACGAAATTAGATCTTTTGAAAAAGATTAAACAACATTCACTCCACCATTTATCATTTCTAGGAAATTTGATGCTGAGTTTCTCCCCAAGTTTGTTCAGTCAGGTTATGAAGATGGGCTTCCTACTTTCCATCGCTGTCAGCTTCCCTCTCGTCATATTCCCATGTAGAGCGAGCATCTATTCTTTCCTGTACAGCAAGGTAGGCTCATAATCTTCCCGATATACTCACTTTTAATTCAAAAAATTTCAAAGATCCAGCACGGTTATGAAGGACTTAGCCATTCGAGCCATATACCTCAGACAACATTCCAATGCATAACACTCGCCATAATAACGCTGTCTCTTGTAATCGGACTCCTTCTGCCCGACATTGAGGTCGTGATTGGACTTGTTGGATCGACTATAGGTGTATTCGTCTGCCTCATAATCCCCGGTATGATATTTAACTCTCTCTCTTCGAAGAAGAACAACGAGAAGCTAATTGCACAGGTACTCCTGCTGTTCTTTTACATAAAAAAATAAATTAAAATAATAAAATTATATATTAATAGTGCCTTGTTGGAATCGGACTTATTATAATGGTTCTGGGCACTTATGCGAACCTATTTGCAACAGAGGAAAAAATAACAAAGCCCGTTGCAGAGGAAGAAAAGCTCCCGGCTAAACCTCAACCCGAAGTGGAATTCAACAAAAGAGGTACATTTGATAGAAATACAGTTTCCTGGATAAAAATGGGATTTTTCATAATCTGGTATGGTGTGAAGAAGGATTTCATTTACATAAGTTTTTTTTTTCTCTAACTTGTAGATTTCAAATAGGGTTATCAAGGAAAAAATATTGGGTCTTACTCATATTGGTATTTTTCAAATAGGATTATCTTGAGTAAAATAGTTGGTTCTTACTCAAATTGGTATGTTTCAAATAGTGTTTTCAATTAAAAAGACCAAAAAAAAAAATTGGTTTTAACTCAACTGGTAAGTTTCAAACGGTTTTCATTAAAAAAAAAAGAAAAAAAGAAGTGTTTTAGATCAAACTATAGCAACCAAAAAAGTGCATGTACTCAATTTAGTAGGTTTCATCGTGAAAAAGAATTGGTTGAAAAACAGGTGTCATATGGAGGCTATGAGTGAGTTTTTCCTCAAATTAGTAGAGTTTAAAAAGGCTTTCATATTGAAAATCTGTGGGTTTTACTCAAACTATAAAGATTAAAATAGGTTATCGATTGAAAAACTGGGTATTACTTTAGTAGGTTTCAAGTAGGTTATCCATTAAAAAACTGGGTATTACTCAAACTAATAGGTTTCAAATAGATTATCCATTGAAAAACATTGGGTATTAATCAGACTAGTAGGTTTCAAGTAGGTTATTCATTGAAAAACTGGGTATTACTCAAACTAGTAGGTTTCAAACAGGTTATCCACTGAAAAATAGTGGGTATTACTCAAAGTAGGTTTCAAGTATATGATCCATTGAAAAACAATGGGTTTACTCAAATAAGTAAGTTTCAAAAGGTCCTTATTGAAAAAAGTGAATTTTTTCATTAAAAAAAGAAAAAGTAGGCCTCATGTGGGGTTATAAATGAAAAAGTGATTTTTTCTCAAACTAGTAGGTTTCAAAAAGGCTTTATTAATGAAAGAATGGTTTTAATCCAACTAGAACGTTTCAAATTGGTTTCCAACTGAAAAACATTTTACTCAAAGTAGTAGGTTTCAAAAGGGGTTTATTATTAAAAAAACAGCAGGTTTTACTCAAAACAGTAGGTGTCAACAAAGCTTTTTGCATTGACAAACGAAAATTAGTCGCATTCAAAAGGGTTTTTCTATTGAAAAATTGCGGGTTTACTAAAAACTTGTAGATTTCAAATAGGTTCTTTATTAAAAAACAGTATTTTACTCAAACTTGTAGGTTTCAAAAGGGTTCCCTATTGAAAAACAGTGGGTTTTACTCAAATTAGTAGATTTCAAAAAGGTTTTTGTGTTGTAAAAGTGTGAGTTTTACTCAAATTAGTAGGGTTCTAAATGGTTTCTTATTGAAAAGCTGCAGGTTTTACTTTTATTTTTATTGGTTTATTTTGTTACAGTCTTATTTAATAATAATTGTGTCTGTGTGCAGTGATTGAGAAGGTCATAGACAATATCAAGATTAAAAATGTTGAGAAAAAAGCGCCAGTTAAGGAATCAAAGGATCCTCCAGCCGGTCTGGCTACCATCAAAGAAAGCGATGAGAAAGTTGTGAAAGCCCCTGCTCCTGAGCCAGTCCAACCGGAACCACCGAAGGAAGTCAAGAAGCCCCCAGACCTTCCAATCAAAAAAGAAATCCATCAGATCAATGCCGAGGAAAAGCACGAAGTAGAGATCAAAGCTGAGCCAGCAGTTCAAGGGGTTGCAAAGGAGAAAAAAGAGCCCGATCCCATCCATCCTGAGCCGCCTGAAGTTATAAAAGAAGAGAAAAACGTCCTAGTCGAAGAGGTTGAGAAAAAAGTCAACGAAGAGGTTGAGAAAAAAGTCAGTGAAGAGGTTCAGAAAAAAGTCGAGATTGAGAAAAAAATCAAAGAGGTCAAAATAGAGGGAGAAGAAAATATAAAATTAGTAAAAATGAATCTTAATGCATCATCCATCAATGATAAGATTGAATCGTTAAAGGAAAACATAACGGCAAGCATGATGAACGGTGTGCCGATCCCTTTGGTTGCCAAAAGCGTCGAGGTGAGGAAAGACCCTCAGAAAACGCGCAACATACTCAAAGTTGACCGAGAAAAGCGAGACGTTGAAGCGGAGGAGAAAGGCGGCAAAGAAAAATGTTCAAAGACTGAACCACCAAAAGAGGAACTCATCAAAGCACCTCAGCGTCTTACGGGTGAAGTCGAAGTACGTCTTGAGAAGCTGAAAACCCCCGAGGCTCGAATTGAACCGGTTCTCCCGCTCAAGCGTGACCTCAAATCAGTCCACGCCCAGGCAAACAACACGATCGACCAATCAGTATAAAATGTAGCGGACCATATTCTGAGAACATTTTTTTCGTCTTTACAAATGTATTTTTCTAGGCGTCATGAATTACTTCTTTTATAAAAACTTCTTTTAATCTGGCAAGCTTGCAATGAAAAGGTCCTTTTATTATTTCTATTTAAAAAAATAAGAAATGTGATAATTTTTTGTTTTTAATTAAAACTAATGCAAAAGACCCACCATATTTGTTTTTTTAACAAAATGTTGCACATCATCTATTGTAAATATAATTTTGCTTTGTTTTCTTTCTTTTTTTCTCTTCGTTTTTGTTTATTGTTTATCAATTGCACAAATAAGGTTTCTGCCAATAATTTTTAATCCTAATCTTATCATGATTGTTACAGCTTGAATTATCACCCTGATATAAGAAAAACAAATCTATCCAATCATATTATGTATAAAATTATTTAATGATAAAAACAGCCTTTTACACAAATTGTAAATATTTGCGAGTCAGTATTATGTACCTGAAGATGAGGTGGAAAAAAATAAAATAACCAACTTATGTTCAACTTCATATCTCAAGATGACTAATAATTCAAAGGCTGAGAATGTAAATAATAATAAAAAGAAAATTAAAAACTGTTCCTAAAGAGAGGCATTTCATTTATTTAATATAAATTTTGTTTTTTCTAGTCACTGAAAGCAAAGTAAATTAAAAAAATGTATCTTCCAATTTGGGCATTCCGGAGTAAAACAAAAAATATATAACAAATATTTTGGGATAAATTATTTTAGAGAAATAAAATGTTTAATCAAAATTTGGATTTTCTTTTGTCTCCCCTTTCCTCTTTTTCTGTTTGTGTGTCATTTTTCTAAACAATTATTTTTTTATTTTTTAAATATTAATGTTAACTCCAAAAATGTTATGTATGGGTTTTTACTTGAAAAAAGTGGATATTTACACAAATTTAGTCGTTTTTACTTTTGGGTATTGTTTGAAGAAATTATAATCACCATTGTAGGTATTTACACAAAATTAGTGGGTTTTTAGAAAAAAGTATGTTGATAAGGCGATTATTTAAACAGAACCAGATGGTTTCATTTAGGGTTTCTCTTTGGAAAAAATGGGTATTTATACAAAATTGGTAGCTTTAGTCAAATTAGTAGATTTCAAATAAGTTATCCATTGAAAAACAGTGGGTATTATTCAAACTAGTAGGTTTCAAATAGGTTATCCATTGAAAAATGAGTTTTACCCAAACTAGTAGGTTTCAAATAAGTTATCCATTGAAAAACAGTGGGTTTTTCTCAAACTAGTATGTTTCAATACGTTCCGTATTTAAAAAAGCGAATTATTTAATTTAAAAAAGAGTAGATTCCAAAAAGGCTTTCTTAATGAAAATTGCGTTTTGCTCCAACTAGAACATTTGAAATAGGTTATCTATTAAAAATCAGTGGGTATTACTGAAACTAGTAGGTTTCAAATAGGTTATCAATCGAAAAACAGGGTACTACTGAAACTAGTAGGTTTCAAATAGGTTATCAACCGAAAAACTGGGTTTTATTCAAACTAGTAGGTTTCAAATAGGTTATCCATTGAAAAACTGAGTTACCCAAACTAGTAGTTTTCAAATAGGTTATCTATTGAAAAATAGTGGGTTTTTCCCAAACTAGTAGGTTTCAATATGTTCCATATTTAAAAAAGTGAATTATTTCATTTAAAAAAAAGTAGGTTTCAAAAAGGTTTTCTTAATGAAAACTGCGTTTTACTACAACTAGAGCGTTTGAAATAGGTTATCTGTTAAAAATCAGTGGGTATTACTCAAACTAGCAGGTTTCAAATAGGTTATCAATCGAAAAACTGGGTATTACTCAAACTAGTAGGTTTCAAATAGGTTATCAACCGAAAAACAGTTGAGTATTACTCAAACTAGCAGGCTTCAAATATGTTATTCATTAAAAAACAGTGGGTTTTACTCAAACTAGTAGGTTTCAAATAGGTTATCCATTGAAAAATCAGTGGGTTTTAGTAAAACTAGTCGGTTTCAATACGTTCCATATTGAAAAAAGAATTATTTCATTATAAAAAAGGTGTTAGATCAAACTATATCAACCAAAAAAGTGCGTCTACTCATAGTAGGTTTCATCATGAAAAAAATTTGCTTGAAAAACAGAAGGTGTCATATGGAGGCTATAAATAAAAAAAGTGAGTTTTTCCTCAAATTAGTAGGTTTCAAAAAGGCTTCTTATTTAAAAACTGCGGGTTTTACTAAACTATAACGATTAAAATAGATTATCTATTGAAAAACGGCATTACTCAAACTAGTAGGTTTCAAGTAGGTTACCCATTAAAAAACAGTGGGTATTACTCGAACTAATAGGTTTCAAATAGATTATCCATTGAAATACTGGGTATTACTCAAACTAGTAGGTTTCAAGTAGGTTATCCATTGAAAAACTGGGTATTACTCAAACTAGTATGTTTCAAATAGGTTATCCATTGAAAAACAGTGGGTTTTATTCAAACTAGCACGTTTCAAATAGGTTATCCATTAAAATGTAAAAAAAATGGTATTTATACAAAATTTGTGTTATTTTTGTTTTGTTTTAATCCCTTAATTAATCCCTGGGGAAAAAAGGAAATTTACATAAATTTATTATTTTACTTTTCCGTACAGTTTGAAAAACAATGTTCATCATTTCAAGTATTTACACAAAATTTGTGGGTAGGTTTGATTTCACGTTTTATTTGAAAAAAGGATTTGCGCAAAAGTTGTACTATTTGATTGATTCCTTGAAAAAAGTATGTTTGTCCATTCAAAAAGTGAGCACTTTGACAAAACTGATAGGTTTGATTTTGCGTTTTCCTTGGAAAAATTGGACACAAATTTAGGAGTTTCCCCATTCAAAAAGTGAGCATTTAAATAAAACATAAGGTTTCATTTTGTGTTTTCCTGAAAAAAGTGAGTTATTATTCAAAACTGGTACACTGATTGTGATCAATTTAATATTCTGGATGGTTAAAGCTGGTGAGTTGTATTTTCGGTATGCTCTGAAAATCTTCATTCCACCACTATGATTTCTGATTGAAAATGTGGATTTGATCTTAGAAATTTCTCAAAAACTGTAGCAAAAGTGGGTTTTATCCCATATGTTAACACAGAAAAGATGTTTTACATAGCTGCAAAAAGAAAATAAACTTACCTTTGTTTTGGCCAGCCCAGATTGCCTTGGATAAATGAAATGGTTGGGTTTGACGAAAATTGAACGATACAACGAAAACAACACCGTCTTTTTGTAATAAATAGAAATATTTATAATTTTTTATTAATTAAATTCAATTAAATCCTATAAAACATTTACACAGTTTTAGGTTTTTTTTTCTTTTAAACTTATTTCTCTTATGTCTTTGGACTTTAAAAACTGCTCCACAATGAATCGTTGAACAAATTTAACTATACAATTATTTTTCGCCTAAATAGAAGTGTAACTTTTTTTCATTTAATATATTATTATTTATTTTTATTTGTTTATTATTATACATTTTGTCGTTAAAATCTTTTTCTATCATGTTCATGTGTTTTTTCTTCTCGATTTTAACATTTAAAAAAATGAATACTATAAAGCAGTGAGGTCAAGCTTTTTTGTATTTTTTTTTGGAATAATCGAAGGGCCAAGAGGCAGGCGTTTTTTCCATTTTTTGTTTTTGTTTAACCCTACTTTTTTGGTAGTATATGTACAATATATAAATAGATATTTATATATATATATATATTTGTCTTTTATAAGAGCACAAAGAATAGTACAAAATTAAGGTGTGTATTTAAATATGTATATTAATTTTTTTACCTTTTTATTATTTTTTAAGTTTTTTTTAGTTTTTATGTTTAGTTTTTTTTAAAAGTGCCCAACCTTTTCAAAGCCCGTAACTTTGGCGAAAAAAAATTTCGATTTTTTTTGAGGAATTAAAAAAAAAGAAAATTTTTTTTAAACACATTTGTTTTTCCCCCACGCCTTGTTGTATCACAATTCAGGCGTTCACAAATTTTTCGTTTTATCTACTAAGAAGTCTATTTTTTTTAAAAATGTTTTAATCTCAAGTCCTCACCACCTCCGAGACTCTCCATATATAACTATATAATATATTATTTATAATATAATACACAAGGGGTGGAATTTGCCAGGGGAAAAACAAGACAAAGAGAATTCTTCGCCTTTTTTTCCCCCTCGCAAATACACAAATTGAACTAGGGTCCCTTAAACTAGGTTCAGATCCATACACTGTTTATATTTTGACTAAATATTCACTCTATGCTCCTGAGATCCCCATTTTGCTAGAAATAGTTCAACAATATCACTTTTACAACTTTTTTCTCTTTTTTCAAAATTAAATCCAAGTGTTTCACACACGATTTTAATTTCTCATTTTTTAACTATATTCGATTGCATTTTTTTAAAAACATTTTTCATTTATTTAATTATATTTATAATACATAATTCATTTTTTTTATAATATATATCTTTTCAGTTAAAAGAGGTAGGTTTTCTTTTTTCCCTTATATATTCAAAGTTCATTAATCGCTTTTCGACGTCGCGTTCAAATCGTTTCTTGATTTATAATTTCTATTCTCCTCAGTCGTTTTTTTCCCCGTTAAGATGAAGAAGATGAAGAAGAAGAAGGGATGCCGTCGGAGGCTAGAGCAGATCACGAGGGGGCGAACTTCCGGGTTTTCTCGTATCGGTCAGGCACGGGACCATTGTGAGGGCGGAGAGGCGCTGGCGAGACCTTGGCACTGCCACTGGAGGTACCTGCGTCGGTGGGTACCTAAGTGTAGAAAAAGGTAAAAAACAAACAGATACAGAAAGATTTTTCACATGAACACACTGTTCGAGACTTGCACGAAAAATTGGTCAAAAACAGATAAATAACAATTTTTTAAACTCTGTCATGCTTTGAAACATAAAAAAAGATTTTTAGCATTGATATATTTTTGAGCTGGATACACAAATATTGTGTGACCAGCTGTGCATAATCGATTTCGCATTATCGAACGCGAGGGATGAGTTTGTTTTGGAATGATTAGGTTAGGTAGAGTTAGGGTAGAAATAGGTAAGGTTCGGCTAGGTAGAGACAGATGTCAGGAATGGTTAAGGTTAAGGTCGGGTTAGGGAGTAAGGATTAGGGATAGGTTAGGTAGGTAGGGAGACGGTAAAGTTAGGTTTAGTAAATTCAGGGTAAGTTAGGTAAGGTAGAGTTAGGTTATATTGGGTCAGGTTTGATTATTAGGTATTGGTAAGGGTTGGGTTAGGGGGGTAAGTAGAGTAAAAGATATGTTAGGTTTAGAGAGAGTTATGGTTAGAGACGGGTAAATTAGAGTTATGGTTAGGGCAGGGCTAGGTAGAGTTAAGGTTAGGTTTAGAGAGAATTTAGGTTACGTCTAGATAGAGTTAGGGTCAGGGATGAGTAGAGTTAATTCAATAGCCGGGTTAAGAAGAGTTAGGATTTTGTTAGGTTAATTATTAAGTAAGTGTCAGGGAAGAATAAGGTGGAATCAGGGGTTAGGGACGGGTTAGATTAGGTTTGGTTAGGTATTGTTTAAGTAAGGGATGGGTTATACAAAGTTAAAGTTAGGTATAGAGAGAATTTAGGTTACGTCTAGATAGAGTTAGGGTCAGGGATGAGTAGAGTCAATTCAATAGCCAGGTAGAAGAGTTAGTAGGTTAATTATTAAGTAAGGGTAAGGGAAGAGTAAGGTTAGGGACGGGTTAGATTAGGTTTGGTTAGGTATTGTTTAAGCAAGGGATGTGTTATACAATGTTAAGGTTAGGTTTAGAGAGAATTTAGGTTACGTCTAGATAGAGTTAGGGTCAGTGATGAGTAGAGTTAATTCAATAGCCTGGTTAAGAAGAGTTAGGATTTTGTTAGGTTAATTATTAAGTAAGGGAAGGGAAGAGGGTCCCCCGTTAGGAACGGGTTAGATTAGGTTTGGTTAGGTATTGTTTAAGCAAGGGATGGGTTATACAAAGTTAAGGTTAGGTTTAGAAAGAATTTAGGTTACGTCTAGATAGAGTTAGGGTCAGGGATGAGTAGAGTTAATTCAATAGCCGGGTTAAGAAGAGTTAGGATTTTGTTAGGTTAATTATTAAGTAAGGGTAAGAAGGGAAGAGTAAGGTGAAATCAGGGTTAGGGACGGGTTAGATTAGGTTTGGTTAGGTATTGTTTAAGCAAGGGATAGGTTATACAAAGTTAAGGTTAGGTTAGGTAGTAATTAAAATCAAATTTAATCCTTCACCTGTGGTTGTGTAGGTGAGGCCAATCGGCAGGTACGGTCGTTGCCCTATACGGTGGCAACGTTTCCCCTTCGAACACAGTCCGATTCGGTGGGGCTCGGATACACTTTTGGTATATTTCGCTCTCCTGAACAAGACGGACGGATTAGTCAAAAACGATTAATATATTAATCCAATTTCTGTTCCTTACCTGATCATTGTCTCTGATATGTAGCCTGGTCGAAGAGCCGTAAGGGATCTCCTCGCCGTCAGGTAGAGGTATCGAAGGCGGGAGGTCGAGGGCCAGGTCCGTCGTGACCGAATGGAGCCTAACTTGGCGGTCCCTCTCCGCTCCCAGTCCTCCACCGCCTCCTCCCCCTGGCACTGCTAGCATCTGCAAACAGACAAACAACAAAATTACAACCCGGAATATTTATGAAATACGAGAAAGAGAGAAAGAAAGAAAGAAAGAAAGAAAGAAAGAAAGAGAGAGAGAGAGAGAGAGAGAGAGAGAGAGAGAGAGAGAGAGAGAGAGAGAGAACTCATGGAAAGTCTCTGTTGGTGGTTTTTTTTCGAAAATTTATAGTAAATGAAATCTGACGAGAGGGTGTGTATTTGTCAGTGAGGGAAGAGTTGTAATTGAAATTGGAGACCTATTTTTGTCAAAGATTTTTTATTTAAGTAAAACTGCTATATTTAACATGGGAGCTTTCCTTGAAAAGTTGGTTAAAATTTGGTCATTTTGCAACGAGTTTTTCCACACACACAAAAAATTAAATTGTTATTGTTTTTTATAAATATTTTCCTAAAAAAAAGATATTTGTTCAACATCGGATATTTCTAAAAAATGTTTGCCAAATTTTCCCCCTAAAAAAGTAGTTTTGACATGAGTTTTTCCGCTCAGAAAAAAGAAGGTTGAACATAAATTAAAAAAATTAAATTATTGTTTTTTTCTAAATATTTTCCTAATAAAAGATATGAACATCGGATATTTCTAAAAAAAGTTTGGCAAGTTTTCCCCCTAAAAAAGTAGTTTAAGAGTTTTTCCACACACAAAAAAAAGTAGTTGAACATAAAAAATATATCTTTTTTGGTTTTCTTAACATTTATCTGATAAAAAGATACTGTTCACATCGGATATTTCTAAAAGATTTTGACAAGTTTTTACCCTAAAAAAGTAGTTTTTTCCACTCACAAAAAAGTATGTTGAACAAAAAAATATCTTTTTTGGTTGTCTTAACATTTTTCTGAAAAAAAGATACTGTTCAAAATCGGATATTTCTAAAAAAGTTTGACGAGTTTTCCCTCTAAAAAAGTAAACAGTTTTTCCAGATACAAAAAAAGTAGGTTGAACAAAAAATATCTTTTTTGGTTGTCAACATTTTTCTGAAAAAAAGATACTGTTCAAAATCGGATATTTCTAAAAAAGTTTGACGAGTTTTCCCTCTAAAAAAGTAAACAGTTTTTCCAGATACAAAAAAAGTAGGTTGAACAAAAAATATCTTTTTTGGTTGTCAACATTTTTCTGAAAAAAAGATACTGTTCAAAATCGGATATTTCTAAAAAAGTTTGACGAGTTTTCCCTCTAAAAAAGTAAACAGTTTTTCCAGATACAAAAAAAGTAGGTTGAACAAAAAATATCTTTTTTGGTTGTCAACATTTTTCTGAAAAAAAGACCGTTCATCAACATCGGATATTTCTAAAAAAGTGAGACGTTTTTCCCCTAAAAAAGTAGTTTGTTTTCCACACAAAAAAAAGTAGGTTGAACATAAAAAAATATATCTTTTTTGGTTTTCTTAACATTTTTCTGAAAACGAAGATACTGTCAACATCGGATATTTCTAAAAAAGTTTGACAAATTTCCCCCCTAAAAAAGTAGTTAAACAGTTTTTCCACACAAAAAAAGTACGTTGAACAGAAAAAAAAAATATTTTTTCTTTTTTTAAAATCATTTTTCTGAAAAAAAGATACTGTTCAACAACGTATATTTCTAAAAAAAAAGTATTGAAATGTTTACCCCTCCCAAAAAAAGTAGTTTTGACATGAGTTTTTCCACACACAACAAAAGTAGGTTGAAAATAAATATTTATTATTTTTCCAACCATTTTCCTAAAAAAAGACTAAAATCACAGAAATGTTAATATCTCAGGAATCGTTCTGGTGGCACTGAACTACGTTTTATCGTGAATCCACCATGGCAGTATTGAAATTTAACGCTGGAACATCCTGTATATTTCTAGGCTAGACCGATCGTTCAGTTCAGACGATCCGAGCAGAAACGAAAATAACGAGAATCCCATCCACCAGGAGTAGGTATAGCCCAGTGACCCAATTACGATGGCGGGGGCGGATTTTTCCCGTTTCTCCTCTTCGTCTTTGGAAAAAAACAAACGCGTCGCTTCCTTTTTTTCCACGTTTTCACACCTCCGGCGTCTCAGGGAAACGCATGGTTTCCGGGGGTGAAGGGAGGCCTACGTCGGAGTACTCTAGGCCATGTATTGATCCGAGAGGGACAGCCGCCTCCCCTCGCCTGCCGCCCCGCCCTAGATTCCGCCCCCTTCCCGGTCAATGCCACCGCCGCCCCCAGCGCTTTCCCTTTCACCACTTTCCAGTGAAAGCAAAACCCGCCGGCCAACTCCCCGACGCACGCAGATGGCCGTAAACCTTTTTCTCGCCCGCCCTAGACTAAACTAATAAAATAACGACACAAAAAAAAAAGACGAAGGAAAAACAAATTAATTAATTCATAATTTGCAAAAAAAGAAGCGTAAAAATAAAAAAAATGAATTCCTGGTAGCTTTATAAAAGTTTGATTAAACACGTTTTTTTTTATATAACTCTTACGACAGACTTCTATAAATTTTGAAAGGTTGGGAAATCGGCCAAGAAAAAAAATAAGCCTGTGAATATTACTCGAGACAATTATAACAGGTAGTTTTAGGCTTTTGAGTTAATTTTACACTGCGATCACCGCAGTGTCTGGAGATCGATAATAAAAATAAAGAGAAAACTCCCCCGTCTGGTTTATCCTCGGAGGTTTTCTTTTCGATTTTCCACCGCGACACCCTGTACACAGCCCTTTTTGAAGTCTCACGGTGCAGGACTTTGCGTCGGATCGGCCGAAAGGGCGTAGACACCCGGTCAAAAGGGGTCGTAAATTATTTCGGAGGAGGGCCTGTCGTGCGGGTCTTTAGCCTAACCGGAGCGCCGTGATTTCGCCCCGAGCCCCCCCTCACAAAACGGTCGCGATTTCACGGAAATTTTTTTAATTACCCAACTAAAAAAATACTAATAAAAAATAAATAGATAAAATACACAAATAAAAAATGTTGAAACCACCAAGGGATATTTTGAATTATTTTTTTTATCGAAAATTTATCAAGCTTTTTTTTTAAATAACTTTATTTCTCCCTGCTCCCTTTATGGACTAGCATTAGAATTACATAAGTTCTTAATGTTGTAGAATACAGTTCTGTTGTACATGCTTTATTTTACTTATCAAAATGGATTAATAAATGAAACGAATAACATACTTCTAATAATGCAAAAAAAAGTGCAAATAACAAGTATAAATATATATTATACAGTGACTGTAGATTAACTATTGCTTCTAAATTTAATATAAACAACAATAAATTTGTACAAACCAAATTATTTATTTCTTTATAGTTTTTCAGCATTTATTGAGTTCACAAGCCTCGGAAAAATCGAAGTTTTAAAACCTTTCCGTTGTCTCTTTTTTTTTTTTTTTTAACATGGAAATTTCAAAATAGGCCTGAACATAGTTGTCAACGCTCGGGAGGGTTTTAACGCCTGGTTTATTCCACCATTGATCACCTGCACGCCCTGGAGAAAGGAAATGAATATCAAATCACAACTGCACACTGCGCAAATCCGCTCCGACTGCCGAAGGCGTCAACTTCCTTCATCCGATGGAAACTTTTGTCAATTAATCTAAATAAATAAATATTCGAAGGGATTTTCGAGAAATTAACGAGTCCTGCTGGGTCCCCCCTACACACACACTCTAAATCCATTGGCCTATACCTGAACAGATCAGACATCACATTTCGACATCACGCCGGAAGTAAGAATAGAGCGGATCACGCAGGGACCGTTGGTAACCAAATGGCAGACGAATTGGCGAAGGAGGCAGATGAATATGCAGTTTTGAACTATAGGGCTCCTTTAAAATCTTACTCGAAGAAGAAAATCGACAGACGACTGAGCAGACATGGGAAGAGGAGTGGTATAGTAGGAAGAGAGAAAAAGACTTTCCGACAATTTAACAGAAAGGAGCTAGACAATTTAAAAATGTATTACAAGCTAAGTCAGGTACTAACAGGACATGGGCTAGATATTACCTGAACAGATTTTATATTATTGAAAATTCAAATTGTATATGCGACCAATTAACAGAACATTTAATACATGACTGCCCACTTCGCATGCCTTACCGACGTTACTTAATACTGCAAACTTACTATACTTACTTTATCAAGATACCAGAAATATTAGCACCTTTTAAACAATGATTATTTGGAGAATGTGAGCGGTCTAGTGTGACGTAGGTTTAGAACAACATTTTTTTTTATCGCGCCAACGTTTCGATCTTTATTGAGGTCATCTTCAGGGCTCAAAGTGTTTGTTTTCTGTGTAGATGTGTCATTGTTGTGTGTCGTGTTGAAAGGGAAACGACAATAAACAAAAAAGTAGGTTGACCATAAATTTAAAAAAATAATAAAATAAATCGTTATTGTTTTTTCTAAATATTTTCCTGAAAAAAATATATTTGTTTAACATCGGATATTTCTAAAAAAGGTTTGACCAGCCCCCCCCCCCATGAAAAAAGTAATTTTGGCGTGTTTTTCCACACAGAAAAAAAGTAGATGAACATAAATTAAAAAGTAAATCGTTATTGTTTTTTCTAAATAAGGTTTGACAAGTCCCCCCCCCAAAAAAAAAGTTTTGACGAGTTGTTCCACACAGAAAAAAAGTAGATGAACATAAATTAAAAAGTAAATCGTTATTGTTTTTTCTAAATAAGGTTTGATAAGTCCCCCTCCCAAAAAAAGTAGTCTTGACGTGAGTTGTTCCACACAGAAAAAAGTAGATGAACATAAATTAAAAAAATAAATCTTTATTGTTTTTTCTAAACATTTTCCTAAAAAAAGAGTTGTTCAACATCGGATATTTCTAAAAAAAAGATTGACGTGTTCCTCTCCCCAAAAAAAGTAGTTTTGACGTGTTTTTCCACACAGAAAAAAGTCGGTTGAAAAAAAATCTTTATTGTTCTCTTCTAAATATTTTCCTTAAAAAAAGATATTTGTTTACCATCGGATATTTCCAAAAAAACTTGACATGTTCCCCCACCCCCAAAAAATTGTTTTGACG